ACTAATCCACATGGCCGTGACCGTGGCACAAGGCCGTTCCGCCTTTCTTATTTGCATCCGTGTCGTACACGCCCTCGTTTCCAGCGCGCGTCTTTGTTTTCTCGTGGTTCGCACCGAGTGTATGCAAGCCGTGGCCCTTTATCGCTTCGCGTGGTCTGTGTACGCAGCAGAGTCGTGTTAGTGTCGCACGACTTGGGGGCGGATCAGACCAGGTGTTTGCACCGCGGTAACACGGACTGGTCTTGTGCCCCCCAGCAAGACACTGACTCGACAGCCCGTTCCAGAGGGCACATGCACGCCCGTCTTTCTTTTGAGCCTGACTGTCCTTTGCCCTTCCTCTTCCAGCCAGCCAACGTGCCCGTAATGGCTGTTCCGGGCCGCATAGGGGGGTTCCCTTTGCCCCCCCCTACTTTGACCAAGCCACCCCGTACCGCCACATGGCGCCCGCCACAAGTATGCTTTGGGCGCCAACTTTACCACTGGCAGCCACCGCGTGAATTCACCAATTCTATTTTCACTCTGATTTCCATGATTGCGAACCTCGCTCATGGCATTTCCACGGAGCGGAATGTCAACTTTTCCACCCCCCCCCAATATGGACGCGGAAAAACAAAGACATAGCTTTGCCAAGCCCATGGTTCGCGCAACCGCTTCTTTATAGCACTCGAGGCGATGTCGTAGTAGCACACTTGTACCTACAACCTGGTATCTGGATATGTTTGGTACCTGCATAGACGAAGGCTAGCCGTGGTGCTTTTCACTTGTGCTTGGGTGGTTGAAACGTAGTGGGCCAGTCAGTTCATTGTGACGCAGGATGAAATCATACAAACTAGGCAAATGCATACGCCCACTGGAAATGAGGCTGGCAGCCAGCTAAGCCCCAGTAAGATAGATCATGTACACCGATTGAACAGACATGCTTTGATTGAGACCCGACCTGACGGTAGTCGGCACGCAAACGCGAGAGTCACGTCAAGTCAAGGCTGTATATACTTTCTTCTCCGCGATATGCTTGACCCGGAAACCTGTGGTACCCATGTAGGGCTAAGCCCTGAAACAGCCTTGTGAAGTTAACTCTAGCTTGGTTTTTACTACGAGTGCCGATCGGATTCTGGAAATGCTCGGTCGAGAAGCAACAGACAGGAGGAAGACAGGCCCCCTAGCAAAGGCATCAAGCAGGACAGGGTACATGGTTGTGAAGCACATCACATTACCACAAAGAACGGTGAAAGCGGAAATTGGGACTTCGGCTTCCTCCACATCCCCCCCAAACGCCACGCCCGAAAGTTGGCACCAAGGCCGTCTCGCGAAGTTAGCCAAGGTTCTTTCTCCTAGAAGAAAACAAACAAATTATAAGCGCCACGAGGCTGACCTGCCCTCCCCCCGTGACATGTCCTGAACGCCTCTTTTGTGGACAAAATGCAAACCCTTTTTTCTTTTCCATCCTTCAGCACGCTGCGGCTGCTCATTGGCTGCCTTGCACTTCCGTCTTGATAAATGGCGTAATATGCCGTACATGAGCACGTTGAGAAGGGGAAGCATGAAAGGATGAAAAAAGAAAAAAGAAAGAAAAACAAACAAGACCATTGATCGGTGGTGCATGTTCTCAAAGATTAGATGTACTGACCAGGTACGTGCATCAATGCCATATGTGTTTGGACCCGGGGAAGCCCACAGACACCGATCCATCCATCCAGGCTTTGCTCTAGCTTCTTGCGGTAGTATAGACCCAGCAACCTGGTAGATAATCTCTCTTTCTCTTTCTCATTCTCATTCTTGCGCGCGCGCGCGATGGATCACTGCTTTGTTTTGTCTTGGAATCGCCTTCACCCACTCCCACTGCCCTGTCTTGCAATGGGAAAAGGGAGCGCTGGCGGCAACATAAGGGATAGATAGAGTTCGACGCTAATGAGACAGCTTCACGAGCTAGACATGCAAGGAACGCGGACGGGCTGCTCTCGCTATTGGAACATGGAATTCCTTTTTGCTCCATAGGATCCGGCCCGGATGGCTGGATTTCGGCTCGTTTATGAGCAATTCCGATCAAAAGCGAGTTCCTTTCGGCCCGGCGTTGCGGGAAAGACCGGTGTTTGAAATGTCATCTTGGTGGCGAAGAGGCGGCCGCAAGGTTAGCATGCTGAGACGATGAGACAGTGTTGGCGTGTCTGTGCGTCATGGCCTGGGGCTCTGAGGAGACTGTGTGGAGATAGGAAAACCGAGATGGAGTTTCTGGTTGATCATGGACTGCCAGGCGTGAACGTGAAGACGTGATAGGATATCTGTGGCTTTTTTTCGACATCTCTACGTAGAGGAATTCACTCATGGCGTTGGATAATTTGACATCTATGGTAGATCATGTCAGACTGTCATACGGTATCACAAGTGTTATCTACACTGTTTTAAGTAGTAGTATCTGACTCATCTGCACTGTCCTGTTGCCTGGTGTCTGTTTCTGCGAGTGATTTCAATGGTCTAACTCGGCGGTTTTCACAAGGCAACAGTCCCTTGAAATCACTTTTACGACATAGATCTTGACATGTCACAAAACGCACTATTTTAGCACGTCGAAATCGCTTACACAACAAAAAAAGGCAGATAAGAAGACATACTTGAAAACACGTTCGTCCTTGGAACAAACCACAAAAGTCCTTTACACAGTATGTAGTTGAATGGGTATGTCGTACTGCGCTACACCAAGAGGCTGCGGTGGGAGCTACTACGTAGGTTGAGGACAACAATACATCTAGTGTTGAGAGCAGATTTACCTCACCGGCAAAGGTCCGAATATAAATCGCATAGGGCCTGTAGTGGTCAGTGTCCTAGTAGTGAATCGTGCTATCTTCGTCACGCTACGGGACTCTAGGCAGGAATTACAAGCGCACATTCGGGACCTATTAATACAGGTCTACGAGAAGTACAGCTACAGCTTGCAGTACAGGCAAGGGGAGTAATAAAGGCGTAGCTTGAATATATATTCTCTAAGCTACAGTCTGTAGTGTTGTAGATTCCATCTAAATCGTAACACTCCTGAAGTGCATTTAGCAAACTCATTAGTTTACGTGTAGCAGTACACGCACGCATGCTAGCCGCCTTACTGGCTAGCGCCATAACAAAGGAGCAGGAATGACTTCTATCCACCCATCACTTACGTGGTTAGATTGGCATTAACATCTACACTAGGATGAACAAATATCCCTCGCCCCAAGACCGGACAAGGGTCTTGTCTGAGCTAGGCTTTTCATTCTTCCAACCATCATAGGGTGCCAGGTAATCCATGACATGGTAAGACGTCTCACGGGCCGCTCGATTTGCAAAACCATCGGCCGGAAGTTCAAAAACCTAGGGCTGTATAACTATAGTAGAATAGAGTATCATGGTTCCAAATACATGTACCAATAGATGGATGCAACAAGAAGCAACTCACACGTTTTAAGAGTATAAAAATTGCTATGATTGTGTTGTTGTAGGGTAGACCCGTGGGGATACGTGGGGATACGATATAGGAGCCTTTTAGTACCTACCGAGCATTCATCCGTGACAGACGGCCAAATATCACTCCTATAGCACTATTCGAGTAGAAACAGAATTACAGGGCACAGGAGCAGATATAAATACTCCGTTTCACACCCCTTATGGGCAACACATCTCCAACAAGTCACTTCATTCTTTTCAATATTCCACCTCGAAACTCAGCAGCTATGCAGCCTCTTCGCATCTTCTCAGTGCTTCTTAGCCTCACGATAGCCACCGCTTCACCGGTTTTTGACTCTGCCGACGGAGTCTCCGACGACCCACAACTAATTGAACGGAATACAGCAACCACCGTGCTGCAGAATCCAGCAACCACTGTGCTGACGAATTCGGGCTCTGCTGCTACAATTGCTTAGATGGCTACCGAGCAATGTTCTATTTATTACCTGCCGACGATGTAAGTTGCATGTTCTCAACACATACATACGTATAAGGAGAGCTTTGCAGACATATTGGTGCTAACCTATATGAAGTCATCAACATATGTATACAAACTGTTAGTCTCTGCGGTCTTCGCTTCTGGAGGGGTCTCCTGTTAGTTACTTCAAGACATAGATAATTTATATCGTTGGTATATCAGTATTATAAGGGTTGACTGCAAGCGACCTATCGTTCGCGCGCTGACGTGCTACATTGGCTCACTTCCCAACTTTCCAGCCCCACAGCCCATCGTGTGACTTGTGACTCTTTATAGCACCATGGTCTTTGCGAGTTAATTGATGATAAAATAGTTTCCCGATGTGAACATCTCCAATACTGAACTAAGGATATAGAGGGATTCAGTGTATTTTGGAAAAAAGGTTTTCTCTAGAGTAAAAACATACCTAGTATTTGCAAAACAAACAGCTAAATTAAGATCGTATCTATAAGTAGTTTCAAGATACTAACGCAGCAAGTTTCATCACGCAATAGGTTACACCATATATATAACTAATTGTTTGTACTATTAGTATAAGAGTTAGGCATCTTATTAGATACAAAGACTTATCTAAAGAATAGACTTGTTCTGCAGTACTAACATCAAGCAGTAGCATGTATTTATCGACTTCATGTACTAGATTAGTATTCTTGTAATAAGATATAGTATTAAGACACATGCCAATAAAGTTAACAAAAGCAGAAGGAGCTACATTCTACATGCATACATTGCTAAAAGGAACGGGCATATTGGACAACGAAAAAAGTACACTAGATGATTTTTTTTGACTAAGGATAGAATATCAAATGGAAACACTCAATTGCTGCAATATTTCCACTTGGTTTAAAGTACCAGTCACTGAAAACACTACGATTTCGCCGAAAGCTGGCCAAGTTCGAGCTTTATGCTTAAGAATGTGCAGGTAAAAATGGAACCAGCCTGCGCTTTTGATTGTTTAAGAAAATTATAATATATAAAGGTCTATGAAAAATGTAGGCCCAAATACATCAAACACAGCGTAGAAATAGCCACGGTTAGCTAACAAGCCATTCTAAACAACCCTTTGCTGTGAGAATTCTTCATGGTACCTCAAGACTGCCGAAGACACTGCCGAATCCAAAAGTGGTACATGTTCCCTCTCCACGCCAACAGATATGCGAAGAAAGGGATCCATATTCTCAGCCATGGATGAGCTTGCCGAAATCCTCGATGTCGAGAAACCAAAACTGACACCCTTTGTTATCGCAAGTGAAAGCTGCTTGGCCTTGAAAATAACCAGCTCGATGCACGCATCGAGACCTTCTCGACCATTCAAGCCCTTTTCATGGAATTCTATAGTGATGATAGAGCCACCATGCCGCCATCCAAGTTCTGACCAAGCCCGTGGAAACTCTACAGTAGCAATACTACTAAGTGACTGCACAAGAGCAGAGCAGAGTGTCTCACAGTTTTGGGTAAGCATAGCCAGTCGGGCTTGGTAGATGGTGTAGTCGAGTGGAGCAAAGAGAGATAGCCTACGGTAGTACATGACAGAGCCCAGATCTCGTCGTATTTTGCGCATGCCTTTGTCTGGGTGGCTGGGATAAACGACAAAGCCAGCCATCTGGACATCCAATCCGTATTGAGGGTATTTGCTTGCTCTCTCAGAGTACAATGCCAAGGGTGCGTGCGGCCCGACAAACCAGTCGTAGATGGGGAGACCTCCAGAAACCATGGTTCCATCGATGATAACAGTACGGTTTTCCCATCCTGGCTGATGAGACACTGTTTGCGCAAAATAGCGGATATCGGTGGTAGGTAGACCAGCCGTGTTGGCGATGGGATCAATGAAAACAACACGAGCGTTGCATTGCTCGGCTTCGGAAATCAAGCTTTCAGCGTCAAAGCTTTCAGCTTGGTGCAGATGGAAGAGACTGGTGTTTGCGAAGCTCTTGATCTCCTCGGATGCCTCAAAGTAGATGTGAGGCGGAAGGAGTACATGGTCGCCTGGACGGATGTGCTGCATAAAGTAATGCAGTAGGATCTGGAAGGCAGCCATAACGCTGGAGGTAAGGAGTAGACTCACGGCGGTTTTGCCGTGTTCCGAAGGTCGCAGCGCCTGCAAAAGCATGAGCTCTGTGCTGCGAAGGATGTTGCACCGTGTCGATCGTAGTTGACCATATTTGAATTCTGCGAGGCAGTGTCGCTAAACCACTGCGTAACAGCCTGGTCATATGAAGGGCTCGCTCGTTCAAACGTGCACGAAGCAGCCGATAGCAGCCGAAGAAGGACACGATGGCGTTCTTCAATAACCCAAAACGGGACGACATGGCCTGCCACGTCATCGCAGAATTCAACAGTGAGTTTACGAACCTGGCTGAAAAGGGCCTCAACGATGGAGTGAGACCAGGTATCAAGGCGTAACTGCAGTCGATTGCATAGAAGGCGGCTTTGGTCTAATCTGTGTTTCATGGCATCGACTGATTGCAGAAGACGCAAGCCAAGAGCGATAAAGATATCACGGGGCTCGCGGAATTTTTGGATGGCTTTGGAAGTGCTGTTGTTGGCACTGCCCGCTAAGTCGCTGAGAGCGCCATAACGCTCAGCAGGATTGACAATGTTGCGAAGGCCCATGGACCGGCGGTCTTCGTCGTCAGAAACATGAGTGACGAGAGCGCGGGCAACGACATTAGCAGCGATGTTGCTACCAGTAAGTAGCAGTAGAACGCGGCTTGGGCCTGGTGTAGATGTTTGTAGTTGGGGAATGGCGGCAATGACCGCTGCGGCTGAACCCTCGAGAAGCAGGGATTGGTTGCGCATGGCTTGGGCAATGCCAATGGCAACCTCGTCCTCGTTTACTTGTACAACGTCCCCGGTGAGTGAGTCCAGTATGTTGCCCAGCGGGGTTTCCTGGACCAGTTGCACGGCCAAACCATCGCAGTAACTGGCTTCTGCTGGCCTCCACAGTTCAGACGATATATGTTTGTGGGCGCCAAACGTACGCCCAAAAACATGTGGATGCACGCACACCACGCGTGTATCTTTTGAATATTCTGAACACCACGACGCTACTGCAGAAGCAAGACCTCCTCCGTCCAGCGGCACGACGACTTGGTCGAATGGCCCTGCATCCTCGCAGGCCTCCACTACACATGTGCCTGCACCTGCCACTACCAAAGGATCCGCATACGGTGAAATATAGTGGGTGTTAGGCTTGCCCTTGGCATAACCAATTGCTTCTTGGGTTGCTTCTCCAAGGTCGTTACCGAAGAAGCTCATGCGTGTGGCGCTGCACAGAATTCGTTTGGCCTTGATTTCCGAGACCTCAACCGGGGCAATGATAAAATACTCTTTTTCCAGAGCCTGTGCAGCTGCACATACGGCCAAGGCATGGTTACCGGCCGATGCTGTGACAATCGTCTCCGCTGGACTTTGCATAATAGCAATCAGAGCGCCCCGGTATTTGAACGAGCCCGTATTTTGGTGACAGTCAAGCTTGGCCCATACCTCAAGACCTGGTCGGTCGAGCCATGGCAGTCGAATGGTGGGAGTGCGGACGACATGCCCACTAAGCCTTCTTGATGACTGTTGGACCTGGTATGCTAACCATTTGGCGTCGATCTGTTGGTTGACCTTTGTCGAATAGTTGCCATTGACAAGATCTGCTCCATTCCCGCTATGGTAAGGAGAAATTTTGTTCACAAATGTAGTGGCTGGTGCTATGGTAATCATGGTCGGTGAGAATGGGATAGCAAAGCTAGAAAAAGCGTTAAGCTACAGTTTGATATGATAGTGAGAACTCAACGCGATATAAATATAGAGAACGCAATTGTAGAGGTAAATCAGGCCTGGTCACATGCGATTCAGGTGCAGAATAGAACAGTGTCGATGCAGTAAAGGAAGTTAAGCCGCGGTCTTGTACACGCTTGAAAAGAACCGATACACTGATCAAAATAATGCACTCTACACATTTCTTAGGAAAAGGCACGATGCGTTCTTCGGTTGAACCCACCATAAGAATATACCCACGATACTGATGATCTAGGCAGTACTTAGCTCAAACAAAATGATCTCAGATCGTATACAACCGCATGACATACATGGCACTATAAACACTAACTTCCCCCAAGCCCAAGCTCTTTCTTTTCGACACAACAAATCTCGCTTGCCTTTCTACAGCTCTTTCTAATTCCACACCCGTTGGAACTTCGCAGGCTTTGGAACTTGAACCATGAAAGCGACAATCCCAACTATTGCCGCTTTCTCCACTGCCTTTTCCAGTACGTTTGGAAGCTCGATCGCCGTCGGGGTTCAGGATGCCATTACCGCCAAGTTTGAAGTTATACCGTCAAAAGGAACACTTATCGTATCTTTGTACCTAGTCGGCTGTGCTATGGGGCCATTTATCTATGCACCTATGGGCGAGATATTCGGCCGAAAGTATGCATTAGGTACCGGCGTCACCCTCATGTTCATCTTCGCCGCCGCATCGGCCGCGGCGCCCAACTGGAACTCTTTGCTGGCTTTTCGAGTTCTAGCAGGCTTGGGCGCCTCAGCCCCCATGATCGTCTCGGGTGGTATTTTGGCCGACATTTTCAAGGATCCAGCCATCCGTGGTTACATTATCACCGGTCTGATGGTTGCCATCACTCTTGGCTCCCTCAACCCCTTAATCATATCTCTACAGGTCATGGCACGATGGCCCGACTCTTGGTTGCTATGCTTTTGGATTCACACGGCCATCTCTGGACTTTCGTGGTTGATAGTACTCATTATGCCTGAGACAAACACCGTCTCAAAGACGCCGTCTGGTGCCCAACATAATCACCCAGCTTCAGCAATGCTCCAAAGACTCCTGCTTCCGACTCGAATGGCTCTTTTTGAGCCTATAGTGGTGGCCACATGCCTGTTTCTAAGCCTCCAGTACTCGATATTCTACCTGTTTTTCCAGCTCATCCCCCCTTTATTTGAATAGGTTGGGTACGTTAGTGCGGGAAACTCGGGCGTATTGTTCATTCCCTTCTGCGTCGGGACAATATTTGCTGCCTCAGTCTACATAGTCGTTGACCCAGTTCTAGGGTTTGCTGCAACCAAGAAGACCAGGGCCGGTGCTTATCCAGAGAGCCGTCGACTTCCTCCGGCATACCTTGGAGGTTTCATCATCGTTCTAGCCCTATTTCTTATGGGGTACTGCATAGGAAACAAAGTACACTTTGGTTACCCTCTTTTCTTAGAGGGGATGTTTGGGTGTGGCTTCCTCTTGATATTCATCGGCCTTACAAACTACATAGTTGATGCTTACCAGGTGCGTTGTTTTTTCTCATTATTCGGTGCAGCATGGTCAGAAGCTAATCCAAGTACAATCGTAGACCCTAGCTTCTTCTGCGCTCGCCTCGTCTTTCGTTAATCGAAACATCATGGGAGCTGCCTTACCGTTTGTATCAGAACCAATGCGACGCAATTTAGAAGAAAGATGGTCATTTTATCTACTTGGATTTCTCAGTCTTCCCCTTGCATGCATCGTATGTGGGTTTCAACTCTATGGTCCTCATTTGAGGCTTCAGAGCCCCTTGTGTCAGAGCTTGGTGGAGAAAGAAAAAGGGGACTCCAATGAAGTCTCGGAGATATAGATTGACGTAGTAAATGTCTGAGGCCGCATCAAATAATCAGCAAGCACTCACGGCTGCAAAAACTCACTACCCTGGCACTCAGGTGACTCCATACGGTACAGATGTGCAGCTGACTAGGATCAAGTCTTAGTCATAATTATATTTATGCTCCGGGAGTTTGCTACCGTGTTGTTGCAACAGGATAAGCAAGAAAAACTCTTCTAGAACAATTCTGCAAATCCCGGGTTACTTCAGCAAAGACCAAACACGATGGTGATGAAATGATATCCACTAGTATTTTATGTTATCAATAAATGACTAGATATCTTCAGGGTCCAATGAAGAGCTTGAGAGCTAGACGTGAAGCAACTAGGGCAGCTCAATAAGCCCTCAAATCTCATCACGCGACGTTGGATAAACGAATGTACCTTTTATCCAGCGTGCACTAAAAGCCGAGCTACATTAACCTGTCTATGGAAAGCTTGAGCTCGAAATCTGGCACTAGTCAGCTATCCGCTTCTAGTTAGGCACCCTTTATTTTCTGCGAAGCGACCCACTCGTCACCAAACACGAGAGAATATCTACACTAGTAAAGTAGCCAATCTAGGGTAAAGATCTTCGTTGCATGTTCCCGGATTGATTATACCTCTTAAAAATATTTATGAATTCAATACGTGGTAGGAGCTGGTCACTTTCATGCATGGATTGTTGGTAACAAATGCCCACTTTTATTAGAGTTGAAATAAGAACGCTTTGAGAAATAACATCTAGCGACAATGAAAACGAAAAGATAAAAGTTGGTCTATTCGGCGATTTGGTCACCAAGGGACCGAATCACAGTACTAATCATTGGAGACACGTATTCGGGGCTGGTTTTCAAACGTCCCTGCTTTCGGCCCAATAGATTGCTTAGCCGAACTGTGAAAAGGAAAATCCGTACTACATGTCTGGAAGAGGATCTATGAGCATGAAAGGTAGGTAGCACGAGTCTCTCAAATTTTTGAATTACGTATGATCGGCGAGTAATGTTTTCACAGCATTACTTTTCTTTCATGTACAAAAACTTGAAGAGAAATAATAACAACAGAAAAAAAGGGTTTCGGTCCTTTGTCCATGGCGCTCATAAGTTAGAGAATGGTAACATCATTGAACTGATTTATTGACATGGGATCATAACATCTAAACTCCTCTGTGCAGCCATTGAGGTATTGTTACCTTACAACTGGTAATTCAGCCTCTTAGCATTTGGTGATGGGCTATACTTGATGACCGGCACTTCAAGTTCTTCGAGTCTTATTGGCGTCGCCGCATCTTTTCCCAAAGTACCATTTGGAACAGCATGCGCCAAATCATCAGGGAGATGAACGGTTCTGGCCTTCAGTTTAACACTTCCGATGAGCTTAAACCCGGTTTTCAGATAGAGAGAAATGTCCTTTTTGGAGGCATCCCCAAACATGGGGACTTGCTCAGCATTGACGCGGTCGTAGCCCCATGCTAGCAACTTGTTTCCCAGACCTTTTCGCTGAAACTCCGGTAGAATGGCAAGTGTTCGGGCATCAATCCTTTCCGGCACGTCGCCGATCACATCCATCTCTGGCTTGTAGAATCCTTCTACGACTCCGGGTGTTGCGCTACGGTCTCGGTATTTAGCTTGCTCAATGTCAAGAAGCTTACGTTGGAGGCCTTGAGCTATGGTCAGCTATGAGGTAAAAAAAATAGGATGAGAATGGACTCTGATGCTGTTTCTTCGTATCTTTTAAATTCTGGTAGTTCTAATATATGAATTAGACAGTGGTATTGCTTACGCTTTTCTTCGCTATCCGGATTCCACGCTGCGACCGCTTTCTCATTGCCGTACCTGACCAGTGCGAAGTAGGCAACTATTCTCTTTTCCTGGGGCAAAGCTCCTGTGCTGTTTCCTCCGTTCATATACTCGCTGGCGGCTAGCTCCGCGCCTTCTAACTCCAGTAGTATAATCAACGCTCCTGGAGTAACCAGAAGCCGATGAAGTGTATTGAAAATGGAATCATAAAAATCCTGGGGATAGATATCTGGGAAGGGGTGAAAATGCCCATAGATGGCGTCTTCAGCGAATGCCGCAGCTCCCACAGCAGCGAGCTGAGGCAGGTCAGTCTTTGTAGCAGGTTGGAGGCGCATTGTGTTGTCAAAACGTTTTGCTGGCGAAGATAGAAGAAGTCTATTGATTGCCCTCCCTTCTCATTGCACATATTTATGTAGTCATTAATCACGTGTTTCAAGTAGTTTTGGCCCAGACCAGGGATGTTATTCCCAACTCAATTGTACTGGCGTTGTTCTTGATGGTAATAGCGTCAGATCAAGCTTTTACGGCTGCATAATAATTCAGTGCGGTATTCTAGTTCTGAATTCCTAAACGAACTTTCTCGGCTTTTACATTGCGCCATTACAGCTGCTAGACGAGCCGAATGCGGGCCGAAGTAGTAGTAGGACAACGGGAAGTAGGCTGGTTGTGAGGTATTATGTAAAAGGCTTAGCTTCGGCGTTTTCCTAGGCAACTTTCATACTGCTATAGTAAGAATACATGATATTCATGGTGCTTGTTGCATCTGTAGTCATAGAGTGCCGTGTTTTCGGCCGAGAAATAACGGTGAACGATTTCGGACATATTGCATGCTGGCAGTAGATGATGTAGAAGGGTGATTGAAGGTGGATGTCATTCTCAACCCTCTTCAGATAGCTGAGAACTGTTATCAAGTGCTCATACATGTATTTAGATCCCATGAAGTGTAATTTACATATGGATACAGGAATGAAAGCTATTCATTATATCAATAAATCATTGTGCTAGATCTCGACATTATTCTCTCGTTCTTCAGACCATCTTTGAGCCACCCGCTAAGTCGGCAGTGCGCTCCTTTGCCTGGATTTTCCATAGACACTTCCAGCAGTTGCAGTCCGCACCAGAATTGGGTTGCCATTTGAACCACTCATTCCAGTCGTTAGATTCTGTCTGCGGCTTGACCATCGTTTGCTGTGCAACCATGGATCAGAGTGCTGAGGGTCTAGGCGACGTCTACTTGGCGTTGTCGCAACCTTGTTGGGTCTATCCGCCCTCTCCTCATCCATCCCGTGCTTATTCCGATTGCGAATGAACTGGTGAGGTCTGAAAGTAGGCCGTTTCATCATGATATCGTCCTTGAACCTGTGAACCCCATTTACAATGGCTGTTTGTCCGTATGCTGCCATCAAGGATAGTGTACCAATGGATGCCGTTACAGGAAGTGCTATTGCCCAAAACAGCGTCTGGCTACTGTCCATGTTCCGTATGTCAGAAGTGTTCATACCGAATACTGAGGCGATAAATGACAGAGGCAGGAAGACTATGGTGACCAGCGTGAAAATGAGGATTGCTTTGGAGTTGCCTTCTTCCAGAATCTCGATGTTGTGTCGAAGTGCTTTAGTAGCTCTCTCTAAGTCTTTGCGGAATTGCGAAAAGAGAATCTCTATGCTTTTTTCTCGGTCCTGCGCGTACAGCGTAAGTTAACATAGTTTTGAAATATATGGGCTTAACTTACCTCGAACACTAGTTTGATTTCATCAGTGCTAAGAACTTTACAAAGAACCTGCTCTGCCTTGTGTTGCTGCATGTATACAGACTCTACCACTTCAATCTCTTCATCCAAGAGATATAGCTCGCGCAAAATTCGCTTTGAAGGCTTGCGGCTGGCTTGGAAACGCTATCACAGTCAGAGCATGCTTGCTTAAATGCTTTGTAATTGGACAACATACCAAGGCAGAGAGATGATCCCTATACAGCTCCATAATTGACATGTCCCACAGGAGGGGTCTTTTAACGAGATCGTAAAGACCCAGGTAAATCGTGAATTGCGGTGGAGCTTTGAAATGAAACATTGACCTCCCATTATCTCCAGTTTGAGTCATCAATAAGAGGTCGTCCCTTGCTCTTGACATGGCGAGGTCGGCGAGGGTCGCGAACATCTCGGCACCAGATTCGTCATTAACATGCTCTGAAGATGAAGCGAGAAGTTCAGGCCCCGCTGGTGCAAACCCATGTTCGCGAAGAGTACTGAAACTGTGTGCCGAATAATACAAAAATTGGAAGATTTTTTCTGCAGCTGTGACCAACGTTGAGCGCAAAAGATACCCCTCGTCTAGCTCCTGTGAGCCATTAGCGACACTCTGACGCATGTCTATCGCCCTTGACAATAACTTGTTCACGCGTCGAGTTAGTGTTTCAAGCAACTTGAGCAGACGTTCTGTTGAAATTTCCATATCTGCGTCCGTGGTGGGTGTGACCCAATGCTTGAGTAATTCCAAATTCTGCTTGCTGTGCATTCTTTGTGCAGAAAGGTGTGCCAATCTTAGATGATTGATTGCGTCTTCGACACTAGTGTAGCGGTGTTTGCTGTCGCAAAAGTCACAGGAGGTGACTGAAATGCCGAAATCTTGCAGTAAATACAGATTCATATACTCATCATTTGGTAGATGTCTCACTATATATGTCGAGGAACTGCGGCTGGGACTGTCTTTGGCTTGATGTCGGTAAATTTCTTCTGATGTCTTGAGAATAATCTATGGTTTTTAGTGATTGTATACAATCTCAGAGAAGTCAATTTACCTGATCAACGATCGAAATTGAGCCCCAGCATCGCTCAATGAGGGGATGTGCATGATGCTTTGGTACAAATTGACTAATCAAAGCTTTCACACCATTGACAAGGGCATTCCTCAGGCCGAACATTCGTGCAATTTGCCAGAGAAGTACGCGTCGTCTGGGATTCCTGTGCCTAAAAGATACATCTTCCGGTGGGCTCGTTGGTGGAAGAGGATGACGCTCTACTACTCCCTCGCTGTCTATTTTGAAATATTGGATCATGTCCCGTAGGCGGACAGACGACTTGGATAGAGTACTGGCGTCAAATTTGAGATCGAGGTCGCTAATCTTTTTTCTAGGAATAGAATCAGCAGGAATGGTCATTTGGTGATTGCCCTTTTCCCATAGGACAAGGGATGCGGCATAGGAGTCTGCTTTCAAGCCCTGGCGGACTTGGTAGATTCGCTTATCAATGATACGCAGGGTAATCTGTACCAGTACACCATCAAACTCCATTTGAGATGCAACCTCGTTGTGCGGTCGGAAGCCCACTTCGCTTCTTTCATGGTCGTACGTAGTAGGCCACGCCAAGAATGGTGGTACACGGAGCTCGGGGTCGATCAGTTGGTAAGAATGAGTATGGTCAGCTTCCTGCACCTCCGGGGCTGATGCTAGACGGATCGATCCAGGTCCACGCGCGGTGGCTCTGTTTGTCTCTACTCTTGTTTGACTAGTGTTTCTGCAAGAAATGTCACTCCGCGGGTCAGCGTCTCGCGAAGATCGACCGTGCCTTTCACCCCCCGAGCGATTTCCTTCTATTTCGCAGTCCGCCATGCCGGTTTCGGGCTTCTGTGGTGCTTCCTGTTGACGAAGGCGCCTAGTGTGCTCGAAAAGGACTTTACACTCATAATTGTTCAAATCCTGGAGTATGAGGAAGTAATTCGTATCAATGTCGTTTTGATACGGTATATCATAATACTTCAAAGTACAAACATCGAGAAAGTCTCGGTGTATTTTGGAATATGTAGGTATCCGCCGCGCATATGAGCTTGAAGTAGCTGGTGGCTCCTGATTTTTCGCTCTCTCCGGGTCGATCATTGCATCAATCTGTTCGTGAGTAAACCCAAAGGCGGCCAGACGCTTTCTATATTCGACCTCGAGCAGATCTTGAAACTCCTTTTCCCGCATCTTTGCGGCATTGGCCATCTCTTCACTGGCTGTGCGTTTCAATCGATCCTCCAAGTCTGTTGCTGCTTCATTTCCCACTTTGGCCAATTCATTGTTCGGACCATCATCTGTTGTCTTGGATATTCCTTCTTGTGGCTCACTCATCAATGGCTTTGTCGCGTTACGAAGGCTCACCCGCACTGAAATCAATGCAGACTTTGTCGTCTGCACAACGGTTGGCCATCGTGATGCATCTAGTTCAACATTATCGTCTGATGTGTGCAAGACACAATCATTAATGTGATATTCTGTGTGCTGAAGACAGTCTGTTTGAATCATAGCCTTGAGCGCAAGGAACGTCTGACAAGACTCTAGTGGAAGATAGAAGACTCCCTTTTTGACAAATTCTGCCGAAACTTGTATCAAGCCGGTTGAGCCAAGAAGTGTCTCCTGCGTTACAAACTCGATGTTGCCGTGGAATGTGGACGCTAGCGTCGATGGCCCACATGTGATCAATGTAGTTGAGCCCAATATCAAGACCCATAGCTGAGGTACACGCAATGAATGACGTGATGTCTTGCCAGCTCGTTTGAACTTGCTGAAGGACTGTTGGCGATCTCGGTCTTGAGCCACTTCTCGGGGATAATGCTGCTGGAAGAGGCCTCTCGGAAGATGCAAGGAGTCGTCAGCCGGAGGGTCCGGCCAACTCCCGCTACCAACATCAAAATATGGAAAAGAGATGAAGGTGGCTGATACATCGTTCTTCTTGGAGCTTCTCTTGTCTTTGCCATCACACCTCAAGACTGTTCCTGGCTGGATGTAGCTTCCATAGGCAGAAGTTGTTTCAAATTCGTCCTCGACACGCTGAAGCAGATAGATGAGGACCGTAATTGCATCTATGTGGTGGCGCAGTGCAAAGTTGTGTGCCGCTTTCTGGTCACCGTCAATAAGTTTGTGAAGCTATATCAGATTATGCTCGGTTGCCTTTACTAACGCGGAATGTTTGGAATGATAAAGACTCGGTTTTGAGGTGTCTGATTTGTAAATATGAGCACGAATCATGTTTGCGGATTTGATGACTAACAACCAGTGCTGCGTGGCTTCCGATTCTGCCTTTCGATTCTGCTCGCTTGGAGGGCTGGTCACAAGTCTTACTGAATACCGAGCTGTCTTGTCTGAAATATCGGATGCGACGGAGGCTGTGATGCGCAGCTCTTCATAATCTTCCTGCAACGCGTCCTGGAAGTCTGACGTTGTGGATTGCCTGGCAATCAGGTGGCTGCGAGCAAGCTTCGAGCTGTTTAAATCAATGATAATGTGCTCATCGTCGGCATCGTCGCTGTGTGGGTTTCCGTTGTCTAAGCTTGACAGGGTCGACACAGAGGAGCGGCGCGTCCCCGGCATTGTGCCAGGTCTTCCTGGCTAAAAGACGGGGAAAAGGGTGCAGAGAGGCTGCGCGCAGGTGGTTGCACAAGATCAAATATACTTGGGAAATTGAGTTTAGCCCCCACACGGTACCTCAGCTGTCCACGTATGCGATGCACTGTTTAGTTATCGAGTGCAGGCAGAGTTGCCAAATCGACCAATCATATCTCATTCGTTATCCCCGCAATACAATAATGCAGAAGCTAGCGATAGTGTTAGCTGCGATATGAAGAAGCATATACAAGAGCAAGGGAGATGAAATTCTGTCTAGTTGTTTATCCACAGCAAAAACATATAAGAAGAGTCTTGCGGCCCCATGCAAAAAAAAATCAAAAAACATACAACAGCTGAGATTCGCCAGTGGTCACCCACCTGACTACTAAGCAGCCGCTCAAAGAGTTGACGTGTGGGGAGCTAACGAGACCCTGTAAATTTCTTTGACTATGGTCGTATGTGCTAGAACAGGAAATACGTGTAGAATATGACGTCGGTATTTAGTCCACTTTCAAGCATACTTGGGATGTTTTGAATCCAATAATCTCAACGCAAATCCATTTCTCCCAATAGCTATTCATTTCATCCCGAACATCTTCAACATCGACAAAATACTTATTCTCATAAATAATATTAGGATCACGCTTCGACTACCTATTTATGAACTGTTCTAAGAAGATAAAGTACGTACATCTATGGCTCCGTGCTTAGTGAGCGGAGTCTTGGCGTTCATGAGAGCCGAGCGGGTATCTGCGTACAAAGCAAACTTCGCCGTTTTAAGTAGTCTTTGGTGCAAGCATGCGGTTTTACATACTGTTTAGCTGTTCAGGGACTGAAGCTAACAAATTGTTCGTCTCTAGTAACGCGCTTCTTTATTAAGTCATCAAGCGCATGTTAGGTTGACAACATATAATACGTAGCACTCGTATCACAACAGCATGTACGTAGTGTAGTCGCCCCTAGGCTAGCCAGAGTGGTTTCAACAACGACACAGGCCATCGCGGTTGGCGCTGCGTTTTTATATTATCCTATCCTTAAACACCATCTCACCCTATGCCCTCTCTATGCTAGGCCTGGATTTAGTCATAAATAAGTAAAAACTCCATACTTAGAATTAGACTGCTAGGTTATTAGCTACACCTAAGTACACATACGACGCGTATAAAACCTCTCTAAGGTTATTAGGCTAGTAAGCATAGTATATGCCAACTAGGTAAGCATGTAAGCATATAACGATAGGAAGTTCCCCTACATACATAGCGGCAGAGTCAGATATATTACACTTAGGATCTTTACTTAAGATAGATATTTTAAGTCTCTTTACAGGGTTGGCTCTTCTTACTCCAACCGTCTTTGCTAAATGCCTGCTTATCAGTAACGGCACGGGTGAACGCTGTGCCACAAACGCTAGTACCTCATGAATTGCTTCCTTCAATATGACGAACATCAATCCCAGAAGCAAATCCACGCAGTTAGTAGCATCATAGTTCACATTGACATTACTAAATACAATTCGCTAGTGCCCTCCTGGCTCCTTTCCCCCTAACGGCTGGACCACTTGCCGTACGTATCCTAAAAAAAAAGCCAGGTTAGACTGAGTAGTTAACGATAAACTTGATAGAACTCATGTATGAAGGGTTTACTGCGTGGTGCTATCACTCTTGGCCCAACCCTCCTAATGATAGGGGTAAATAAACTGCTAAGCCCTTCCTCAAGATTATCCCAGGATGGCTTCATCATTAATTTAATATGATTCCATATGGAATAAGTTCCCGCGTGTTATGGAAATTATGATAGCTGATCCATATTGGAGGAAGTAGATTGCAATCCTCTTGCATCCCAAATGTAGAACGTGTAGGTATGTAAGCACGGGTAACTAAGCTTATAAGCATGTGAGTGTCGGGGGCGCCCTACTGAAGCACTATCCATGAGGTCAATGCTTGCCCACGAATGATACCGTATTGCAGCAATGCTAGCATCCTGCCATAATATTAGTGGTTAAGTATAGATTTATTTCTTTGTGCTCTGTTTCGTCTCCATACGAGAAGATTAGCAAACATCCATTCGTAAAGAAACAATTGGCAAAAAGCGCAAAACGTATATTGGCTAGAAGATGGCATAGTGTAAGCACGTTATGCTGGAGAGGACGGTGATGACCACTTTTGAATCTAGACATATTCATCTTGAGAAGCATCTGTATTCCAAATGAGTGCGGCCAAGTTAAATTGTATATAGATTATTGACTAGCCATCAATTTCGCGATTAGGGTTTTACAGTCTTTGACTTCCCTGAAAAGACGTCATAGACAGGGCGAGGAAGCAAATTGCCAGTACTAAGCTTATGTCAAGGTGGCAAGGAGATCCTTGTGACCCGGCTGAGCCCAAAGTCTTGGGACATCGTTGCATCATCATAAGGCGCCAAGAGAGGGGTAGACTGGAACAATGTTGGTGAGATGCTAGCTACTGGTATACCGTGGGAGCAAGAGACGTCAAAACGGCAATGCGCAAACTGCCTGAGCATTCTCGTATAGCCCTCGTCTGACAAGAGATGTACATTGGAAAGCGCCGACACACGCTTTTTGCTGCCAAAGGAAAAACATTTCTACTGCTTAGATTCGTTACCTGACTGGCAGCTCGGTCTTGGACTCGAAGCTGTACCGAAGCCACTCGCCAACAGCCCTCAGGCTCTCCCACCGTACGCTCTCATCCGCCTCTTGCATCAGTTCCATGACTCTGCTCTTCAGGCCCAGCTTCTCAAGCTGTTGTCGCTTTTCTGGTACTTCCTTGACCAAGGATGCAACATCGTTGCATCCAATCGCCAAGACTTGCTTATCATTTTCCCAGTTCTTGGAAAGAATCTCAGCAAGCTTGCGAGGCAGCTCGCCCTTGTTCTCTTCCAGAATACGGCGTGCATTGTCTCGCCAAAAGGTAGGGTTACGATGGGGTGGAGACCAGCGAAGGTGACCAGAGTGAAGCTCAGCAGCGTATTCGTCAAAAGTCGTTTGCGTCTTGGTGTACTCCTCCAGCAGCTCGTTTAGCGCCTGCAGGTCCTCGAGCGCGTCTTCGTCGGTCAAGTGGCGTGACTTCAGGCTTGTAAGGAGAGTAGGCAAGCGAGCAAGAACTGCGGTAGGAAGCAGCGTCTGGCGGTTCGTGGTCAAGAGGTTCAAAAGGGTAGAGAGGAGGAGACGCGTGGTCTTCTCTTTTGGAGAGACCTTCAAAATCTGCGTGTAGAGTATGACAATGTCATGTTCACTGTGACTGTTAGCGGGGTACAGAGGTAGCAAAGGACGAAAACATACTCCTGCAGACCCTCTCCGACAAGCTCGCCCTCAAAGCTCAGCTGCCAAATGACAAGAAGGACGTGGTAGAGAAGTTGGAGCCCAACACCGCCCGAGATGGCGCCATCTGCTGTGCTGCGGATACTGGCACCACCGCTGTAGAGGGTCGAGTCCGTGTCCTTGGCAGATCCAGCTGCGGCTCGCAGAATGTCAAAGAGAGGATTCAGCGTCTCTTTCCTGTGCTTCCAGAAAATGTGCCTCGAGCGCTTGCTGCGCAATACGGCAGAGTACTCGCGCACGGCAATGTCTTGCAGGCCAGCGTCGGAGGCCTTTGCCAGGGTGGAGAGGTAGGTGAAGAGCTGCGCCAGAGCTTCGTCGAGCTGGGGGCTGCTCTTGGAGTTTTGGGTGACGGCGTGTGACAAAAGGCCAGACAGCACCGAGGATGTGAGAAGCGGGACGGGGTCTTCGTTGTTGGATGAAGCCTTGAGCAGCGGCAGGAATGGCGTGTAGGGCGCCGGGTGCTGGACCAGGGCAGATGTGAGTGCGGGTATATCTGTCGCCATGAGCTTCACGTGGGACGCAGTGAGGTGGCAGCATTCGTACCATCAATCATGTCGCCCAGCAGCACCAGCATGTAGTGGATGATATCCTGGCGCTTGGCCGCCGCCTCGAAGATGCTCTGTGATCCATTTCCGCCCAGCAGCAGGGCCACAAAGCCATCGAGGTCCGCCTCAATCGTCTGCTTGCGCTGCTCCTTGCGCACCTTGTCGATGGACTTGATCTTCTTGAGGTCGGCATCCGTGATGGTCTTGGCCCGCACTGCGCCCTCCCACGAAATGGGGCGGGCGCGGATGTTGTTCTGGATCGAGGTGAGATACGTGGGCGGGTCCAGCGAAGACATGGCGGGCGTCCTGATGGAGCGGCAGAAGGGCGATGCGGGAGGGGCTCTGGGTGCCTGGCGTCGCGATGCTGGAGCTCTGAAGTTGGGGAGCTCTTGCTATGAGGGCCCACCAAGCTCCGTCATCTGGCGTGGAGCTAGCCCGAGCAAGGACCCACCTTTGCAGCCTTGGCATCAATCTTTCGCAACCACAAACACTCGCCTCACCACCGCCGCCACGCGCCCTCACCTGCGCCATCATGGAATACTTCAGTCTCAAGCGGTCGACTGCGCCCGAGCGCGGCCAGTCGAACCTGTCCAGCAAAGTCTATGTGCGCTCAACCAAAAGCGGCAAGGTCCAGAAAATCGTCAGAGAGCTGTATCTGCGACAGGACATTCCGTGCTCGTCGAACCTGTGCAGAGCCTGTCTGGAGGTGGCGCCCACAGATTACTCCAAGAGAGGTTCGACTGCCATGGCCGTTTCTCACGTGCACGTGCAAGGCTAACCGGTTTCAGCATCACCTTTTGTCCTGTCCGACACGCCCGCAGGATCAAAGCATTTTCCCAATGGCCAGTATCTCGTGCCAGACACCAATGCTTTTCTCACTGGAATGGATCTGTTCGAAGTTGAAACCGCCTTTCATGATGTCATTGTTCTCCAGACAGTACTCGAGGAAGTCAAAAACAGGTCCCTGCCGCTCTATCATCGTTTGATCTCTCTCACCAAGAACGAGGGCAAGCGCTTCTATGTCTTCTTCAACGAATTTAGACAAGAGACATACGTACCACGAGAGCCCGGCGAGACCATCAATGACCGAAATGACCGCGCGGTGCGCAAGGCTGTGCAATGGTACAACCAGCACATCACCGAGGCCGTTGCCGCACGCAGCAAGAAGCAAACTCGCGTTCCTACCGTCGTCATGATTACTGACGATAGAGACAATTTGCGCAAGGCCAAGGAGGAAGATACGCCTGGCATGACACGTGAGTTTCTGACGCGGACTTGGGTGGATAGCATTAACTCTAATTCTAGTGTCTGACTTCGTTTCGGGGTTGGAAAACTCTGATGAGCTTCTGGACATGATCAGTGCTGCCCAAGAACAGCGAGAAGTCAGGTCAAAGAAGGCAGAAGTCTTCTACCCAGAACACTACACAGTCTCGAAAATGATGACGGGTGTAAAAGCAGGCACTTTACACCAGGGTATCTTCAACGTATCACCGTACAATTATCTCGAAGGTTCCGTGCATGTGCCGGCTTTTGACAAGTCGCTTCTCATCCTAGGGCGCGAAAACAGCAATCGAGCGGTTTCTGGCGATGTCGTGGTTGTAGAGGTGTTGCCTCAAGATCAGTGGAAGGCGCCTTCTACAAAAATCATCGAAGAGGAGACGGTGAACAAAAATGACAATGCCGAGGCGGAAGAGGGGGAAAATGTCATTACCGAAAGGGAGCGACGAGCCTTGCAAGACGAGGTGAAGCGGGTTCACGGCCAGAGCGCAGAAGGGCGGCCACAGCCGACTGCAAGAGTTGTGGGTATTATCAAGCGCAACTGGAGACAATACGTGGGCCACATCGATCGTGACTCGGTTCGCTCCTCGTCAAAATCAAGTAGGCAGCAGCAAACAGTCTTCCTCGTCCCAATGGACAAGCGCATACCCAAGATCCGGATACGAACACGACAGGCCGGAGAGCTTCTCGGTAAACGTGTTCTGGCGACTATTGATTCCTGGGAGAAAGATTCGCGATATCCAGTTGGTCACTTTGTTCGATCCTTGGGTGAACTCGAATCCAAGGGCGCTGAAACTGAAGCGCTGCTGCTGGAATGGGATGTGCAATATAAGCCTTTCCCAAAGACGGTCCTGGATTGCTTGCCCGCCGAAGGCCACGACTGGAAAGTCCCTGCCAACATGGAAGATCCGGGCTGGAAAGGACGCAAGGATCTCCGTGACCTCCTGGTCTGTTCCATTGATCCCGTCGGATGTGTTGACATTGATGACGCTCTACACGCTCATAAGCTACCAAATGGAAACTACCAGGTCGGTGTCCATATCGCGGATGTGTCGCACTTTGTCAAACCAAACAACGCCATGGACAAAGAAGCCAGTCAGCGTGGTACAACTGTTTACCTTGTCGACAAGCGCATAGACATGTTGCCCATGCTTCTTGGAACAGATCTGTGCTCGTTGAAGCCATACGTGGAGCGATACGCCTTCTCTGTGCTTTGGGAAATGAGTGAGGATGCTGACATTGTTTCTTCGCACTTCACAAAGTCCGTCATTCGCTCAAGGGAAGCTTTCAGCTACGAACAAGCCCAGATCCGAATAGACGACAAGTCCCAGAACGACGACCTGACAAACGGCATGCGGACGTTGCTCATGCTCTCCAAGAAGCTGAGGCAAAAGCGCATGGATGCGGGTGCTTTGAACCTTTCCTCGCCAGAAGTCAAAGTCCGAACCGAGTCCGAGACGTCAGACCCCGCCGATGTTCAGACCAAGAAGCACCTCGATACCAACTCGCTTGTGGAGGAATTCATGTTACTCGCCAACACTAGTGTCGCTGCGAAGAACTACGAAGCCTTCCCACAAACAGCCTTGTTGCGCCGCCACGCTGCCCCGCCCAAGACAAACTTTGAAGAACTTGACAACCAACTCAGAGTTAAGAAGGGAATGGAGCTCAAGACAGACAGCTCTAAGGCTCTGGCTGACTCACTCGACAAGTGCGTTGACCCTACCAATCCCTTTTTCAACACTCTAGTCCGAATCATGGCCACGCGCTGTATGATGTCTGCAGAGTACTTTTGCGCGGGCACCCAAGCATACCCAGAGTTCAGACACTACGGTCTTGCCAGCGAGATTTACACGCACTTTACCTCTCCCATCCGTCGCTATGCCGATCTTGAAGCGCATCGTCAGCTTGCCGCTGCAATCGAGTACGAGCAACTGGACGCGAGCCTGCAGTCCAAAGCCAAACTCGAAGCCGTGTGCAAAAACATCAACGTTCGTCACCGCAACGCACAAATGGCCGGTCGCGCCTCGATCGAATATTATGTTGGCCAAGCCCTCAAGGGCAAGGACATCAACGAAGAAGGATTCATCATGAAGATCTTTTCCAATGGCTTCGTTGTATTTGTCCCGCGCTTTGGCATCGAGAGTCTTATCCGCCTAAGGGATCTCGCAACGCCAGAGCCTGAGGCTGACTTTGATGCTGAGAACTACGTACTGAGCATCAAGGGAGATGTCAAGAGGAGTGTCGAGTTGTTCGAGAAGGTAACCGTCAGAATCACAGATGAGCTTGAAGAAAGCACGGGCAAGCGGAAGGTCAAATTGAGTCTCGTCTAAGGGCAAAAAGTGTAATGGGTGCGTTTCAAAAGAAAACTGCTGGTCCTGCAAAGCATCGGCACAGATGCAAACAAATGCCATTTCTCGGCCTTGTACTATACATCAAAAGATGCATGAATTGAGGGGCACTTGTGTCCTGGAGAAATCTGTTGAGTTTGAATTTTTCACATTGCCACAATTCTAGTCTCACTTGTCATGCTACGGTGTAAATGGCTGAATACCAAGCCATCAGTCTGCTGGCTCAGCTGAGCTCCACACGCCTCGCATGCATGCACGCTCCAAGTCAACGTCAAACGCCAATCCAAGCCCCCCCCCCCTCTCGATTTACAGCTAACCCCACACATGGCAGCTAAAGTCCGCCACACATGCAGGCCAAGTCTCGATGGACTAGACGCGCAGTGTCGGATGCTATACTCATCGGATGCAGTCTGCCTCTGTCACGACGACTCAGGTCCAGTCCAGTCCAGGTCCAGGCAAGCCCAGACAGATGACGATGCACGGCAGGAAAAGATGGGCTTAGAGAGACCTAGAATCGTCAACGCACACACTGAGGGAAGCCTGAGCAGGGCGTTCCAGACCACCTGTCAGCGGGCTGCCGCGTCGGCAGCAAATGACAAGCAGACGCGAGAAAGAGAGAGAGAGAGAGAGAGAGAGAGACGGGCAAAAAAAAACCAACGACTCAGCGTTCAAGGCGCGCTGTCCGCACACACGGGATTCGTCGACCAAACATTTTGGCTTCGCAACGGCGTCTAGACTGCACGCTCGAGCTCGAGCAGCCTTTTGGAGCCTCCCCAATACCCGCATGTGGGCACCGTCATCGCCATTGCCACACCTCTCTCGCTACACCCTACCGCCGGCGCCCACCCCCCCCCCCCCCCATAACGACGGGTACCAAGAAAAAGGTGGAGACTGGCAGTCGCGCTGGCTCCCCTCCTCTACACCTGACACCTACCTGCTTACCCCATATCTCATCTCTGCCTCTCGTGTCGTCGACACGGCCCTAAACTTTGGCGCAAGCGAGCAGGCTGCCCGACCCGTGAGCATAGTGGCGTCATAATCGAAAGAGAGCAAAGGTCGAATTGTGATCATCCCGGTGACGGACCGAGCCCTGTGAACGCCCCCCCCTCCTCCATATTGATCGGCAGTGTTGGAGTGGGAACAGCCGATGTTGTGCGCATTGTGTGTTGCGTGCATGTGCATACAAGCCCATTGAATAGAGTGGTGTTTTTGTGCGAGTATTGTGGTGCGGTCAGCTGATAGCATGTCTCCTTTTTTTTCTTCTTTTCAAGATAGCAATGACACATGTATGTGAGAGTGGGTGTGTGCCTGGCTACGTAGAAAACTAGACACTTAGCGTACCTGTCCTCACACGCGGATGCAGGTACCCAAAAGCAACAAAAATAGATAGAGGGACGGGAAGACATGGAGACAGATGGAGAGAGGTGGGTACAGGAAAAAGAAAGTATTGTGAAACAACAAACTTGAACATGGCATTTGGGCGAGGTTCGCAAGCAAGCAACCGCGGTACCTAAGTGATAAAAAGAAAAAGAAAAAAGGCAAGATACGAAGGCAGCAGCCGCCCGCTTGAAGCGAAGAGATGGCTGCATGCTACACGATAAGCGTTCCTTGTCTTTACTAGTGTAGGTGCAGAGGGACAAAAGAAAAAGAAAGTAGGAAAAGGACGCTAGTACTAGCACTATGTAGGTAGGACATGTGGGGACACAGCTCTAAAAGAGGAAAAAGAAACAAACATGAGAAAACTGCGGAAAAAGAAAGAAAAAAGGGGAAGGATAACGGAATCCGGGGTGTTCGGTGTCCGGGATTAAGCAAAAAGCGGCTTTCTCAAGCGAAAAGGCGCCATTACTTTACATCTTTGTACGTTCACACACACAACACACTGCATAATTTAGCGTTGGACGCGATTACCAGTGTTATGAATCGGAGAAGCCTCCGTCTTGCCCATGTGAGCTTTGTGACGGTAGACACAGAGAGAGAGACGCCCCCCAAACGATGAAGATATGTAATAAGTTGTGGAGTGATTAGACCAGATGGGATGCTAAGGGCGTGTGGCGTTCGGATAAGGTCCATGCGTACGGACGTACGGTATTAGTAGATACCCAATCGGCAAGTTTAGTAAACGAGAATGATGGAGAGGGGTGTGGAGAGAGAAAGCTCCCTCCATCCAATGATACCTCTACTGGTGGCGCGGCGTATATCGGAGCCTCCTTGTCCGGATTTACACACGCTGTGAAGTTCCAGCGGCGTTCGTGGGGGGGGGGGCTGCCGGCCAATATTGCATGCCGTATATTGAACCCACTCTATCCTGCGCATACCTGCTCCACGCCACCTGCACGGAACAAATATAGACGAATGCAACGTTGCTGGTACAAGGCGGAACCAGAAGCCGTGTAATAAGACTGCAGATGCTCCATATCAACTGGCCGTACGCGTAACCCTCTTGGCCTTGCCCGGCAGTTAGCGTGGGATAGTATACACCTACCACTACCACTACCACTACCTACACCACGCCTTTGATTGTCGAGGCTAGGCAGCGCATTCGTGACCTGGGAGCCATAAACGTCATACTGCACGGCTTGGCGGTGCCAGCTGGCAATATAGACTTTGACATGCACACCCTTTTTCCTGATGCACATGGCATAGCAACCAGATACCAGTCATGCTCGTATCTTGCTCTACCCCAAAGATGGGGTCATCGCTCGTGCCTGCAGTCTGAACCGCCATTCGTCATGCTTTTGTTTCACGGAACGAGCCACTATCATTGATAGCCAGGGTCTCCTCTATTCCCGGTTGCCTTGGCCACTCACCACCCCAGCTTGGCCCCTTCTCATGTGCCTGCTAATTTCCCTCATCTTGTCTAACCCATCCTACTGCCGCTCTCCCGTACCCTCTTTTCTTTTTCCTACTGCCAACCCCAAACTAACAGCTATGTAAAGAACAGATTGCCGCGCATCTCAAACAAGGCGCGCCAAAACATTTGTCAGGTTTTCAGCCACCCGCTCCCACGACACCATTGCGCGACCCTCTCGCAAAAGGGAACAAGGCGGGCGTTAAACTTTACGCTAACCCGCCCACCTGGATCGCATATTTGTTCGCAGATCGCGGTTGTTCCCATGAACACGCGGCTACGATATTCTGCCTGATCACGGGAACACGTCTTCTTTCAAAATCGAGCATGGAGAGTTTACCGGCTAGATGGATTAGGAAGACCAACTATTGGCTCACTTTCCCTATTCATCGCCATGACGATAGACTCGATGCCGAATTGGGCCTGTACAGATGACTCTACATGTACAAACGATACGAGGTGTACACACACACACATACACTCGCAACTTTTCCGTCGAGCAGGTAGGCAAAGCGGCTTGTGGCAATGCGTAATGGTTCTTGTCTGACTCGCACATGACCAACAGTGAGTCGTGGCGACTGGCAGCTGAGAGTAGGTGTAGGCGTGACGGTTCGTGAGATGCGAACGGCATGTGGGCGAGGTTGCACATGACACAGGCGCGCGAGGTGTTTTGCCGAGGGATCCGGTATCATGACTTTTGGCAGCAAGGGGGTGGGAAAGATATGGCCGCCATGGCAAAAGGCAATGATGCGGCGGTTAGATAGAGGGGTATCGGGACGCAGATGGTGTATGGCCATGGGCGGTGCCGTTATATGCAAGATAGCCCGGATGCGATGGGTGCCGATGCGGGTACCAGGGAGGGATCCGTGTTACATGCACACAGTGTCGAGAAGAGATGGTCTGCGATGTGCATGGCAGATGGCGAAGCCGGGCGGATATGTCGCATCGGGGCATGTTCTTGTTTGAGCAACGATGCGTTCATCATCATGTGTTTGGGTCGTGGCGGGTGCGCCGCCCGCCGTGTCTCGGCAGCGAAGCGAAAAGCAGCATAGGGCGACGAGGGCGAGCAGAGTTTTTATTACTGCAATGGCGTGAGTCAAGTCGATGACGATGATGGGCATGAGGGTTGTGTGTGTGTGTGTGCGCGCGTGAGTGTGTGGGTGAGGGCCATGGGTTGGTGGAGGAGCGGCGGGACTCGGCGTGTGATTGGCTGGAGCCAAAACCTGTTGGACGCAGGTTCTTCACACAGCCGCGTCTCTTGGCACCTTCTGCTTTGGGGTAGACCATGGCCGCATGCAGCCTAGCGCGCTCCTCTCCACAGTCGATCAGGCACAGCACAAAAAGCAAGCGCATGTATGTGGCAGGCCAAGCCAGCCTCGCGGCCAAATGCTCGCAGTGCCCATCTTCGTATTTGGTGCCTCAGGCGCAATCTTTTTCGCCGTCGACGAAGACGATGCATCCGGGCGCCTGACGCCGTGGCGGCCATCGAGGACCACGTGCCTTTGTGGCATGCAGTTTAGCCGGCAGAGCGACAGCGCCATCGTATCTCAGGACATTTGCACTGCAGCGACGGCGACGAGCTCGGCATGAGCGGCAACGGCGCTTGGACAAAGGCGGCCTTAGCCAGGCACCCTTGGCCCAAGTGTGCAGTGGCGCTGGCTTGGATGCGCTCTCTGCTGTCTGTCGTCGAGGGGGGGTACATTGATACTATACTGTAGTGCATGTTTACCTATCTATCATGTATCGAGCCATGTAAGTATCGGCGTGTGGATAGCCCCTCTTTGGTAAGCCATGGCCTGAATGCCGGTTCGGCCACGACGACGACGCCGCCTCGGCTACAGACAAGCTGCACTGAAGTGGAAGCACCGTCGCTCATCTTGGTTGGGCCACAGGTGCGAAGATCATGATGACGGCCAGCCAAGAGTCGGACCGTCTGCTCATCTGGCAAACGTCGTGATGCTCTCGCGCAATCTGCTCGATGCGAGGGGTTGGAGATGGAGACTGCCTCAGCTCCGCTCAGCTCAGCTCAGCTCAGCCGCCGCCGCCGTCGCTCAAGATGCCAGTGTTTGCCAGCAATGGACCGACTGGGGTTCGGAGTTTTTTTTCAACGCATGCAGCTAGTTGTATCGACAGGTCGCATCGGGCAGTCCAGACGACACGCTACCTGCTGCGTGGCCTAGACTACGCGTAGCCCATGTACTGTCGCAGCAGCAGCAGCAGCAGCAGAGCAGCAGCAGCAGAGTTGCAAGCTTCACGTCGTCGTCGCAGGCCCCGGAGGCAGATTGGCCGTGTTTCACGCAGCATCCGGTGAGCCATGGCGGGTGCGATTGGCGGTGGTGCAAATGGATGCTGGCGACCAAGCCTCAGGATCAATAAGCAATCTCTGACCTGGCAAGCTGGCGTCCAAGCGACCGTTCGTGCCATGGAACATGTCGGTGCGCGCCCTGCGCTAGAGCCTGTGTAATGGCCAGGGCTCTGTGGGCGACGGCCAGGAACACTTGGCTCCTAGCCTATAGCCCATCCGTGCTATGCATGCTGCTGCCATTCGGCCCCCAGCCTGCGTTTTTTTCTTTTTCCCTTTTCTTTTCTTTTCCTTTTCCTCTTCCTTTTCCTTGCGCCCCGCTTCTGCTGCTGGGTACTTCTGACAACCAAGGCCGGGGCCTGGCGACGACGAGCAAAGAGAAGGGAAGCTGTTGCGGGACGCACCTGATCCCCGTTACGCCATTGGCCAGTGCCTGCGGGCGGCGCCATGCCGCAACGGGACTGGCGTGGCTGGACGGATCGACGACGTCGCTGTCAGTCCCAGTCCCATGTGTCTCCCCTCCCTCCCACATGCTCTCTCCCATCCACACACACTCTCTCTCATCCACATACACTCTCTCTCTCGCTTCAAGCCACCCCTCGGCGCTGGCGCCGGCCGGCCGCCTGTCGCCTTGGTGCTCCACCCTCCTCCCGGCCATGCAAGGGCAATCTCCCAAAAGCAAACAGGTGCCGTGTGCTGTCGCTTACGCCATCAAAGCCCCGCGTGTCAGTCGGTCGAGGCTGAAGGCTGCCTCTGCCCCTGGATTCGCTGCCCGCCTCGAATGCGTTGGCAAAGGCCCTCACGTTGCTGACCTCGACGACGCCACGCCTGCCCGTTCCATGGCTCCCACTGGGCGTCGCCTGGACGGGAGCAGCGAGGCCCCTTGCAGTAGGCACGGTGCAATTGCCTAACCCGGCACTTGCACCATCTTCAACAGCGGCACAAGATCCCAAGCTTGTCGACTTTAGCCCCTCGTCGACGCCCGCTTAGTGCACACCTCACCGATATTTCCATCAGTCTCTGCCCTACCTGCCACTGACAGACTTCGTTGCCCACCACTAGCCTCGCTCCTGTACCTGCATGTCGCCCCAAGCCAAGCCTGTCCGCTTGCTATAACCCGCAACACTCCTCACCCTCGGAGCCCCGTCGCCGTCGTGGCTCTGCCAAAGCCCCTTCTTTGTTTTTCCTTGTTCGTCCCGCTAGTCGCATCCCATTCTTGTTTGCCACCACGGCCCTGTGGAGCGAGCTTAGACGCATGACCTACGTCTCCACCCGCTGACCCCCCCCCCACCCCCTCCACCTGTCCCGCACTACTTTACCCGTGCCTCCCTTGCGCCTTCATATCAATCCAAAGTGGGCTCACTTCCATCATCACTACCGTTTGGTCGACTGCTTTCGTCGACATTGTAATCACCACCCCACCGCAGGCAGCATGGTCCGCATCCGATAAACACCCCTCTCCGATACATTCACACACCAGGTCCCTCTTTCAGCACACCACCATCATGGAGCAAGAAACCAAAATCTACATTATCCTCAGCGTCGTCGCCGGCACGCTTGTCCTCTGTGCCGCCACTGTCGTCATTCTCTTTTTCTGGGCAAGAACTCGCAAAAGGACCCGAGGCTTCACTCTCCGATCCGTCACTCCGCTCGACGACGCTGAATTCGAATCATGGCGACGGCCCAGCCAACACGCCGACAAGTACGGCATCCGCCCAGCGCCAGTCGTGCTACGAGAACGCGTGTGCTCCAGGACTCCGTCCATGTTTGAGAAGGAGCTCAGCACATATGAATTCCCTCCACGAACACCATCCTTGACAGACGCGCCCTCGCTCAAGTCACCCACCAGTTCCATCCGAAGGCCCGAACAAGCACGAAGAAAGTCCAGCGTCACCTCTTCCCTTGCTGACCGACCTCCGACACCGTACTCTCCTTCATCACCCAGCGGGGAATTCAACCGTGCATCAGTCTCTTCCCGTCGGTCGCAGCCTCTGATACACTATCCGTCAGTATCAGAGGCTTCGGCATTCCGCTTCAACTTTGAGGCTGAACAGAAGCGCAATGGAACCTGGATATAATACGCATACCTCGACTCGGCATTGAATGCATTCATCTTCTTCGACCCCACTTCACCACTAACCTCTACCGTTGGCCATTAGCATGAGCTGCCATTGCCCGCGTGCGCTCGCATTGAGTAGTACATTGGCTGGACAGGTACATGCGCTACCATGCAGTGTCCGGCTGCACCACTATTAAACCTGTGCACCGACCAGGAGACGCTATTTTACTTTGACGACATTCGCTTCGCATACATATTTTTATTTACGACCACACATGATTTTACCCTTTGGAGTTTGGCGGCGCTTTCACGTTATGATACCAGACCTTTGTGTCATCTACACAGGCCACGAGCCTCTTTTTCTTTGTTGGGGGACGAGACTGCTGACCATGACTGAGGGTATGGGGCGAGCGTAGTAGGATGGGCGAATAGGTAGCTTGGTATCAGGTATGCAGCGGTGGCGCTGCAAGAGACAAATTGCTCTCGAGACCAGATAGGCACAAGTATCCACACATACACAAGGCACACACACACACACACATAACGGCTCTTGATTGTCTTGACCTGATCCCATGTCATTCGATTGCGTGACTTGCAAGGTACCATGACGGGCCCCTGCGGTACCCGACAGAGTGAAAGATATCTCGGCTCCAGCCGTGCTGACTTGAACACCTCGTCGACCAAGCCGCCAGCAGCACGCAAACTCGTCGACCATGGACCCCAGCCGACATGAGGATTGCGCAAAGCAAAAGGAGATGCGTCTACACCGCCAGTTTGCCACTCGTTCGCATTTCTCACCATGATCCCCAGAAAATCCTGACGTGAATAGTCGACATGGCTAATACCCTGGTCTACCTGGGGCCCACTTTTGCCCTTCTCTCATCTCTTTGCACCAGCACGGTGGACCAGTTTCTCCACAGGCACGGAGGCACTATTGAAAACAAAAGACCCGGTGGTCGGCCCGCGATTCACGTCCACACGCACACAGACACAAGACACAGACGTCAAGTGGCCGCGGGAAGCGCAAAACGGGGAAGAAGAGCAGCGCTACGTAATTAGCAGCTAAGTCGGCTTCCTTGATTCGGCAAGTCGACTAATTTTCTGTTTGATTTTATTTGATTTTTTTTGGGGATTTTAAACATGTACGCCCGCCCGTGTGTACCTGGTCAACTGGTTATATGAAACAAGGTGTATCCCCGCGGCCACCCGCGCAACACACGAAGCACGGAATTTTGTGCACCATGTGCAGTGTACAGACATGCCCCGTCTCTGTGTCTGTGTCTGTGTCTGTGTCTGCGTCTGCGTCTGTGTCTCGCCTTTGCCCTGCATTCACTTCCGTATGCAACATGCAGGGTAGGGTGGGTACCTGACATTGGTCGGCCGTCTGTGTAGCCAGTCACGTGTGGAGAAATCATCGTCTCGCTGTTCATTTCGTGTCTCTTGTTGCTTTTTGCCCCTCGCGTCGCGTCGCGTACTACTGGCGCTTAGCCACGGGCAACCGACAACGACGACATGAACACATTCATGCACGCGAACAATGGCTGCACACTGGAGCGGAATGACGTGCAGCGCGCATCAGTGCACGCTGTCGCAACGGCTTGTTTGAGTCGAGTTACACCCAGTATTAGTACATGGGATTCTGACGTCGACGATTGCTGGCTTGTTGAGGAAAAGATGGACGCCTGTGAGCGAAAAGGCGGGTTAGCGGGGCGACGCAGTGGGTGACGCTAGACCCAATGGGGACGGGAAACAACGTGGACAAGCCTTGCCGTCACCGCAACTTGACATGTCGCAAAACACATCACACACACACAGAGAACTCTCGCAGATCCTTCTACGCCGCCTGTCTGTTTTTCTTCCTTAGCGCTTGGCCCCATAGTATCGCGCGTACTACTCCCACTCTCGACTTTTAGCGCTCGCTTCCTGGTGATCCCACGGGACATCTAGCAGTAGCAGCCAGCACCCGCAGTCAGAAGAAGCACTGCAGTCCTTCTTCTAGAAGCCCCGGTTGTGCTCTCGACTTGCTTCTTTCCATCTCACTCCACTTTTTTCGGGGTCTTCGCTGCCCCTCCCGCCAAAAATAAATAAATAATAATAACACGTAACGCGTCTTTCCTCCTCGCCCATCGTCGCGCCGAACCCACAACCCACATTTTCTGCATTCGGCAAATCTCAGCGCACACACACACATACACACAGCCCAAGATGGAGTTTGTACAAGGTAAGAAGGGGACAAAGATGTTTGGTGTATGCAAAGTGCGGTTTGTTGTGCCGCCACTACGCCGCCCAAGACGACGATAACAATAACAACAACGACAACAACAACAGCCATGCTAACCGCGAACCAACAGACTACGCCGCGCTCCTCCCGCGCCTCCTCCCGCCGTCCTTTGCGAACCCGCTCCTCCACGTCGTCACCACTTTCCTCGGCGTCTCGCGCACCCTCTCCACACACCTGTCCCCGCTGCTCAACAAACTCATGACGCAGCCCGACGTAGCCTCCATCGTCGCCCTGCTCTTCATCTTCTTCATCTCGCTCAAAATCCTTGACATGATGTACCGCGCCGTGCTCTTCTGGATCAATCTCGCCATCCGCCTCGTCTTCTGGGGCGGCATCCTCGTCGTCGGCCTGTGGATCTGGAATCGCGGGCCCGACGGCTTCGTCGACGATATCAGCGGATTGATCGAGTACTGGATGCACGAGTACGAGCGCTACAGTGGCGAGATTAGAGAGTTTCAGATGCAAAAGGAAAGCCAGATTAGGTTCAAGGCGGGGCAGCAGCAACAGCAACAGCAACAGCAGAAGAGGGGTTGGCGGTGAGGACACATGTTTGCATAATGTCTTGTTATGATTGCATGTCATAAGTGTGTTTGTAGCTTTTTTTTTGGATAACACACACTTTTCGGGTTGGCTAGCTGTTACGAGTTCCATGCTCGGCGGTGATGTTCTTTTATGCGCCTGTGCACAAAATATGGGGTTTGATAATGGTCATGTTTGCGGGCTTTTGGATATATATGGCCTGGTGTGGGACGAATATAACGATTAATGAATGGTATCTATACTTCTTGCACATCTTTCAGTCGATTTGTCGATTGCCATGCTTGATATGTGAATCTTCAAGTATGGATTCGTTGTGCTGTTTTACGGAGAAGATATCGCTGCTTGCTTGCTTGAACCAAACAGGACAGGACAGGACATGGATCTAAATGAGAGATCGAGCATGGTGTGTCGAGTCGAAGTAATTAACAATGCAATGATAGAGTTGGAGTTGGATATTCAGAATAAATGTAGTCTTGATACTAATGCATACTACTCCATCGTTATATATATATCCAAAACTACGCTTTTGCCAAGTACATCCTACATAGATAATACATGGTGTAATTCATCGCTTGAACTTGGTATTGTACTTTCTTTTTTCAAGCGTGGATTCTAGGGTTGAGGATACGGGGTAGAAGCAGAGAGAGGGAGGCTGGAGCATGGTAATGCATAGTATGCCGTTTCTCTTAGTAGTAACTACCGCGGATGCACTGCGCCAATGAAGCAGGCATCCACTCTCACTTTCACTTCCGCTTCCACCCCGTTTTACGTACCCCACGCGCCTCTTTCGTCACGACTTCCCTTTTTGTCGCCGTCTCGCTTTCACTCTTACCTTCACCTTGTAAGCCAAGTCGAGTATATATAGCTGCGCTCGAATCTAATCCCACTAAACTCTCTCCTCTCTCTCTCTCCACGACTCTCTCCCCAACTACCTCGATTGGCTCTGCTCTCCGCAGCACTCAAGATAATCCGCGAAACAACATGCCGGCCGACGTCAACGACAGCAGCGGCCCGGATCTTCCGCCCGAGATTCTGCAGATGGTGTTTCGCAATTTGGGCTTCTTCGATCGTAGGTTTGCCACCCAATCACCTAGCCAGCAAGTATAGCGTGGGCTGGTAGGTTGATATACTGACTTTAATTCAGTCTTGCGCTGTCAGCGTGTGTGCAAGACGTGGCGCGCATACCTTCCTGGTGATGACTCGGTGCTTTGCAATAAGCTGTTCATGAAAGATATCAGGGTTCAGTGAGTAGTCGATGATCAAGATGGCGAGAGTGGATATGGCTGACTTTCTTTTTGCAGTGCTGTGGACAGCAGTAGGGATCAAAATCAGAAACATTCCAGCAAGACGTACAAAGATGAACCTCTTATATCTCTCATGTTGGAAGATGACAGTGTCTATGACGAAACCCGATATTCAGACTGTGTTTTCCGCGACTGTATACGTTTGGACGTCCAATGTCCAGAGTACTACCATTTTCCTGAAGGCACATACTTCCATCCTATGATATGGTACATTGATGAATACATGCACCTCATCCGAGACGAAATCTCCGTGTATGGTTCGAATGGTCCCTCAGATCACCAGATCAGTCGCATCACGATACGCGGCAGGATAGAGAATATCATTGTCAATGAGCGCATGTCAGAACAAAAGGACGGGTCGTGGAAAGGCATGCTGCTATGCGTTCCGCCTGTTCAGTCTATGACCGTTGCGTTCGGTGCTTGTATCTTTGAAGACGAGCGTCAATATTATTCGCTCTATAATAATGAGGGTATTACAATGGGTCAACTTGTCAGAGCCTTTCGGGACCAGTTGAATATGGTACACTGTCACTGAATTATATTAGAGACTATGGATCATGATATTGTAGGTAATGGACAAATCATTATATGGAGTTGGTAAGAGCAAGAGAGGGGGTTTCTGGCCGGAAAGGGTAAGGCCGTTTGTTACACAGTCTACAACTATGGCAGCACAAACGGTGAGCAAGACTGGAAATCCAGTGGAAGACATGAAAAGGACCAGCTCAGCATGAGTAATCATCGTAGCTGTCTGGGCCACTGAGGACCAGATCCATAGCAATGCAAATGTGAGTGAACGTAGGAGCAACGGAAGCTAACCTTTATATGCGCAACTTCTTTGACAGTTTAACAATACAATGTTTAAGAAGTCGTAATGAAGCACGTTGAAGGTATCTTTCCCTACAGCCAAGCCAACCAATGACGTCGCAAAGTCCCCGCAAACCTCCACCCGCACTCCCGCCGCATGGCGCTCCCAACGACCTCGACGCGCAATCGCCAATACGCGCAATCCACCAAAACCCACTCGATACTCACACCTCAAACCCAACCATGGCAACAACATCACCATATCCAGCAGCCGTACCCCCACCAGGCCCCTCAAGCACAACGCCCAACTCAAGCTTCGCCTTCCCACCCCACTACTCGTTCCCGCCCTTCTTCACCCTGCAACCCGTCGCCAGCACCCGCAGCTCGCAGCTCGCGTCATGGTCGTCGCTCATCCAATCGTACTGCCGACACAACCGCATCTTCAGCCTTACACTCATCGACGCGCTCAACACGCCGCTCTTCAACAACACACGGCTGCACCGCAGTCTGTCGCTGCGCGACGCCAAAGCCATAATCAGCTACATGGCCTCGGCGGAAGGCGGCAACCGCGCAGAATTCATGGGCACATCCAAGAAAGCCGCTGCCGCCGCCGACGCCGACGGCGGCAAAGCATGGATCTACTGGCGGCGGCCCGACGAGTGGGCGGTGCTGCTGGAAGAATGGGTCGAGCGCACCGCGCAAAAGGGCACCGTGCTCACGCTGTATGAGATTGTCGAGGGCGACGCCTCGACCAAGGAGGAGTTTTACGGTATGGATGCCGAGTTGTTGCAGAAGAGCCTCGCTGTGTGTGTTAAGAGGGGGCGTGCGCAGGTGTTTGGCAGTGGGGGCGAGGGCGAGGGCGTCAAGTTTTTCTGAGTACAAATGTATGCGTGGCTACGTGGGCAAGACAAGAGGAATGTAAATGTAAATGATACCCTGATAATTAGTGTTTTCTGCACATGATTATGATTAGTCTTGGTGTGATATGTCTTTGGTGAATGTCGATTTGACGGCAGTTATTGTGGGATTGCGAACTGGCATCTGGAGCATATTGCAGTACGTATATTACTTTTTTTTATTACTCATTGTCTCTTATTTTCTCCTGGATTTTTCTATCTTTGCTCAAACTACAGCACACACACACACACACACAAGTATACGTCCGTGTCTATAATCTCTCTAGATGGCGATTCGGACACTACATCGACTTGATCACAGTTCACAGGTATCTTCTCTCTCTATTGCAACGCATACGACGTACGTATGCATGCATAGAATACATGAAGATGACGTCCGACTAAACCACCAGCGTCTCTACATAATCATTTAGCCGCCTTGATCCTTGATGATAGAAAAGACGACTCTGGACTGGAGAGTGCCAAGGGCGGGGAAGAGAGTTGGTGTGTATGTATGTGAGTGCATCAATGCAATGGAATTCACCGGTGAGATGGTAGGGAGCAAGGAGAGAGGGGAGTGCGGAAGGGGGGATGATTGGCCATATCGGGAAGTTCCTGTCAGTGAGACGTAAAAATCGAGATTGGTGGGGAAAAGACGTCAGTCAAAGAGGGTTTTACAGTGTACAACTAGAGGACAGGCTGGGTTGCATTGACGGGATCCCAGTGTCGACAGAAGGGGGCTCAAACGGGCAACGTCGGAGGTTGAACCGCCGGCGAGATGTTAGTAGATGGCAAGCTGGTGTCGAGGGATTACAAATGAATCCAACATGGTGTATGGGGCCAAGCCGGAAATACACAGAGGTTGAAACGCGACTTTTTTTCTACTAGTGGAAGATATCGCGGCGTGAGACGCGATTGGTGGTGGGTCGAGAGACAGACCAAACGGTGCGGTGTCGATGGCTTGGCGTCGCGGAGGTGGCGCCTATCCGCCGTAGGAAGAGAGCAACGGTGCGTTCCGACGACTAGCACTCTCACAACTGTCTTGGAGATGGGGTCTGCGACAGAGTTGACACTAGACGTGGCATTGGGGCTTCCGAGGCCCCAGGGTTCGTGACATGATGGTGCAGCGTCAGCGGAGCGGCGATGGCGGCCGTGGAGCGGGCCCGAGGAGCTCGCGCTGGGCGGCCGTGGACAGCGTGTGGTCGTGTGCGGGGGATACCTCGCTTCTGTAGCGGACGGTAGGCTTGGGATCATGGGCTTGGGACCGTGGCAGTAGTGGTAGTGGTAGATCCGAGTTAAAGAGATCGCCATGGCCGGAAGCAGCAGTCGTCGAGGGAGCGGGCCGTCGCTAGTGGGCAGAGGGAAAATAGCCGAGCCAGGGGAGCGCGAGTCGCGGGCTAGCGCAGGCAGCGTGTTTGCATGGCTTGTCCTGCTCGAGGCAATCTGCAGCGCAGGCTAGTGGCGTCGCCTTCGTGGCGGTGTTGATGGCGAGCAGCAGAGGACAAGTGAGGGCGACTAGGTGGAGAGCAGATGAAGGTCAGGCAATGGCAGGGCTGCATAAATTGCCCTATGTGGCATGCGAAGCGATGGGCCGCGCTAGCAAAGCTCCACCACGTGGTGGCCGCCGGCAGAGGCACGGCACGGCACAGGCACAGGCACAGGCACAGGCACAGGCAGCGAGTGCGGGGACTGCCTCGAGACGCAGCCGTCGAGGGAGTAGTAGTAGTAGCAGTAGCAGTGTCGCTGGAGCAGCGTCTCAGGAACAGACAGGATGCCGGGTTGCTGGGAGGCGGGGTGCGGCCGCGTCAAGGCCGCTAGGCGTGGTTCGTATCTCCAATCTATGCGCGTGTGTGTAGGTGTAGTAGTGCCGTTCTGGACGTGGCTGAGGACGGCAATGGTGGAAGCGGCGCCATGCCCGATGCGGCGACGTGCAGAAATTGGGACACGACAACACAGCAGCCGACTGACAGCCAGCCAGCAGCAGCGCAGCGCAGCGAGCCCCCCCACGGTGGGCCGGCAAGGCGCATCAGCGACAATGGCATAGCAACGCGCGTGGGCCGGGCGCAGCAGCACAGCAGCAGCAGTCGATATTAGCGAATATACCACCGTCGACGTCGACAGACTTGAGACGCGGCGGCGCATGGCAGGCTTATTTTGGGCCAGGAACCTCATTTCCCGCGGCAGCGTTGGCCCAATCACACGGCGCCGCTCCGGGGCGGGCGCCGGGGGCAGGCAGGCACGGGCAGGCACAGGACAGGCACAGGCGCTCCTGTCCTTCCCTTTGCGCGTGTCGCAGCTTCCCCCAATCGATCGTGCCTTCCTTCTTCTACTTGCGTCCTACTACGTGTGCGGCCCTCGCAGCTTCCCTACCCACTACGCTCTTTTTTGCATGTTGCGAGCGCGCCTGCCGTTTTCCTTCTTAGGCCGCTCCACCCGACTCGCCCGGCCTCTCTTTTCTGCTCGTCCTGCTCTGCAAACAAACAATCCCGCCCACTCGCCCGCAATCTCCATGCCGCGAATCGCCTCGTGAACCTGCGCGTCTCTCCCCCCCCCCACGTCCACTCCCACTCCCACTCCCACTCCTCTACTCTGCTCTGCCTGCCTGCCTGCTCTGCTCCACCACGGCCCCGTCGTCGCCCTTCACCCGCCCACCGACCGCCCACGCTGCTGGCGCGCGCCGCTTGCCTTTGCCGTTCCCTCAGCATGCCCCCATGTCCGCCCTGCCACGATGCTCGCCATCCTGCACCCTCCGGAGATTGCTGTCGTCGATCAGCTGGTTCCCTCCCTCGCCAAAAGCAAGCCCGTCTAGTCACAAAACCTGCCGCCCTCCTCGTCGTCCTTGCCGCCTCACTGCCCGCGACCATGGCCCAGCAGAGCTGCATATCGCTCCAGGGCTCCACCGCCTGTCCGGCCTTTAGCTCGGCCGCCGTCGACACCAACCAGTCCGCCAACTTGTACGTCGAGCACCATGCACTGCCCCTACGCAGCCACCTGTACTGACGCCAAACAGTCCATTTCTCAAGTTTGTATCCAGTACCCAGACATTTGATCAAGGCCTGCGAAACTACATCCAGACTAGCTACGCACAGAGACAGTCAGTCCCGTCCAGCCACACCCTGCACCACTCATGGCTCGGCACACGACTAACACTACGCCAGATACCAAGACATATTAGGCTGTTCACGCGTCAACTTGACAAACACGACCAACCTCTATGCGCGCTATACAACAACCGTCCTGTGCAACGCCATTATCCAGTCGTCCAAGCAGTCATGTGGCCTCAGCGAACAAGCTGCAACGCCGCTCTGCGCCGGTGCCTGTGTACGTAGACGAGCGCCCCGTCTGAATCCCGCTGCTGACGTATCCCCAGGCCGACTTTGCCATCAGTGAACAAGTCATAGTTTCAAGCCCAGAACTATGCGGCCAACCAGGCGATAATGCAGTGCCCCAGATTCGCTCCGACTTTACCCGTTGCTCCAACCCGGGAAACGCACTCAGCAACAACTGCATCGAAGCTGTCAAGAACGAGCCGGACGAGTGTGGATATCAAAACAACGTCGAAGGACTGTGCCTTTTCTGCTCCGGAAGCACCGCAAACTCGACGGATTCCTGCTGTGTCAATGCCAATGTCGAAACCCGCTGCCAAGGCGTCAAACTGCCTACCACGATTTCCATGCCTCCCGTCTTCCCGTCGAGCACCTCGTCTGCCGTGCCAAGCTCTACCAGCGGAGCATCGTCTGGCGGACACAACGCCAAGAGCGGCCTCTCCAGTGGCGCCATTGCCGGCATTGTCATCGGATCTCTCATCGGCGCCGGTCTAGTAATTGCTGCAGTCATCTTCTGTTGCATGATGATGCGTAGAAAGAAATATACACAAGCCAACAGCGTTTTCAACACTCCATCACCATCGCGACGCCACTCTCCCAGAGGCAACAGCATACCGCCACCCATGTCTTTTGGCGGTGAGGTCAACGAGCCAGCCACCATTCTCCCAGGCTCGCGTGTTCAACGAATGTCGGCCTTGGAGGAAGCTCCTTCGGCCAACAACAGCGATAGGGGCGGCCGTCTGACTGCTTACGATGGATCTCACCTCGGCCCGTATGATTCACCAGAGTCGATACGAGGTGCTCTGGCCGGAGGACTCCCAAAGCGCCAGGGCTCGTTGTCTAGCCACTCGATGTTGGGATCAAGTTCTTCACCCCTTTCCGGCTCCGACCAAGCTCGCAACCTGTCGAGTCCAGACGGCATCGCTTCGGGCCAGTCGGAACAGCTACAATTCTTCAAGGACTACTATTCCCAAGACGACATTCACCCCAACGACACGGTTGCCACACTCTGGGCCTACCAACCCCGCGCCGGAGACGAATTTGAGCTGGAAAGAGGCGATATGCTCAAAGTTGTGGGCATCTGGGATGATGGCTGGGCCACGGGTGTGAGGCTTTCCGAGACAGCGGAGCAGTGGGAGGCACGGAAATCCGAACAACGCGACTCCGGTGTGAGCAACGCAAGCAGACATCATTCGCCGGTCGAATCCGACAGCGAGATCAAGGCCTTCCCCTTGGTTTGCGTGTGCTTGCCGCAGCACTGGCGAAAGACAATCGAGGGCGACAGCACGGGCATCGGAGGGCACCGCAGTCGAGGTGACCGAGGGCCTTCCAGCCCTTAGTGGAGCCTTGTGTGTGTGTCCGGTCTGCTAATCTTGCCTAGTCTCGTCTACGCCATGGCAGTCCCCGCCTTACATACGACTTGTCAAGGGCGAGAGCCGTGTCGCGTCCGCACCGTCATCCTTGGTGACACGACCGCTCCTCGCGAGGACAACGGATGTTCACTCCCTGGGCTCCAGCACGCTCATTGACCTTGTCCCCAAACCGTAATGCCGCCACGATAACGTTTTTTCACGCGCTGTTTCCGTTCCGCTTTTCCGCTCATGATCCCATGGTCATGGGCCCTCTTCATCCCGCCGGGATCCTCTTCTCGTGGCTTGCTTTTGGCGTCCCTGGACCCTCTGGACCCACTAAGCCATCGCCCTCCTCCGTCACGGCCATACCATACCATTTCCTTTTTTTTTCTTTCTCTTTGTTTCTGATGATCTTGATCAAGAGATAGAGGCTGTCTTCGCGTCTAGTGTCTAATCCACTCGTTAATACCCAACCCGCCATCTGACGTGGCCGCGCACTCCTGGGGGCCACCTCGGCCGCCATCATCATCACCACCACTGCCGATTCTCGTAAATCACACACCATCGACTACCCAAGGGCTATCTCTCAGTTGATTTACATTTCTCCCTACGTTCTATACCCCCACCGTATGTTTACATGCGATGAATCCCCCTTTTTTTCCTTCTCTTTATTCTGCTTCTCACTGGCTGTCGCAGAGAGTACCAGTGCTGCAAGCAAAACCATTGTACATAGGACATTTTTGCTTCGTAGCAGCTGCACTCGAGGATCAAAAAGAACACGAGGTTTAATGCGCTGTTATTGTCTTGATATATATATTTTTTTGTGTGTATGAGATATCCCACTTGTCTGGATACTTGAGGCTGAAAGATTGTTGTTTTGCTGGATCAAGTTGGCTGTTTTTTTTTCTGTTCTGTTTTGTAGGCCGGGGCCGAGGGTATGTTTTGTTTTTGTATGTTTTGTTGTTGTGTTGGTGTGAGGAGAGAAGAAGATGAATAAGAAGAGGTAGAATAGAGGGAGTGAGAGAAAAAGGGAGAGCAGTGCGTGTGCTGAGATTGTTGTTGATTGTTGATTACGTCTTTTGGATAGCCGGGGGGGGCGTGCTGGGGCAATGGACACATTTGGACCTGAAGACTTTGTTGTTGCTCGTGGTATTATCATTACTGACATGACACGATAGCACACCTTTGCACGGATGTGATTAACATGGTGTGCTAGGAAGAAGAAGAAGAAGCAGAAGACATGTCAATTATTTCATTGATTTATATTTATCCATTGATTAATCTCATCATTCAATCGAGTATCGTCGCTTTCTCATGTCCCTGTCAGCTTCAAACGTTCTTCCCCTCGTCATGTTGTAAATCCCATGTATATATATATATATATATAGTTATATGAAGTAAGAAAAGAAACGAAATATTTTCTCTTTCGAAGCACAGCTCCACTCTCCTTGTCCTCGCCACATGTTTCACACTAACTTCTATTTTGATATTCATGAGGAGGAATGTAATCTTCTTTATCCAATGCTCTGCCTCCATCCTTACTTGCATGAATCAATCTCTCGCTACAGCACATACACAACTCATAAAATGGGGGTCGTGTACATATGCATATATACATTCTTGTCGTTAGGTTTACTTGGTCATAGCACGGCTACCCTTTCTCCTGCCCCCGCGGCCCAAGCCGCCATCCTCATTCCTCTTGTGCCAGTCGTCGATTTCGCGGCGCACGCTCTCGCGGTAGAGCTTGTACTCGTCGCTTGTCTCGACGAGGAGCTGTGGACAGTGGCCGGAGCGGCGGAGATGGCGCTTGAGATTCTCCCAGCGACAGTCGGGTTTGAAGGTGCAGTTGGGCTGGGGGCAGCGGTAGGGACGCAGAGTCTGTATCTTCTGTTAGCTTGTCTTTTTTTTGGGGTCTGGATGGGGTATGTTGCAGTGTTGGAGTCGGGGAATAGGAGGATGAGCTCAGCTTACCTGATGTGTTCGTTCGTGCTTACTCAGGTTACTTGAATCCGCGCATGTGAACTCGCAGAAGCGGCACTTGTGCGGCTTCTTACCCTCGTGAAGAGCGCTAATGTGTGTCTGTAGCTGTGTGTGTGTCGTGGTTGTGTATCCGCAGCGATCACATACATAGGGTCGCTCGCCCGTGTGCGTCCTCTCGTGATTGTCTTTGGCTTGATTGGTAGCAAAAGTTTTGTCACAACCTTCGTAGCTGCAGGCATAAGGGCGGTAACCGGCGTGGCCAAGGAGGTGGCGTGAGAGCTTGGAGCGCTGCTTGAAGTCTTTGGTGCAGGCCTCGCAGTCTTCCCATTGACAGAAGCAGTGTGCGCAGTTGTCCACGTGAGCGGTCTTGATGTGCTTGTGCAGCGCCTCTGGAGTCTCGAAAGATGCGAGACATAGAAGTCCCGGACCATGTTGCCTAGGGTACTGTCAATATGTGTTGTGTTCTGAATGGTCAGGTGATTCGAAAGAGACTCGCAAGGCAGCGTGATTCCCCAGATACAATGCAAAACTTGTGATTGTTCAGTCTCACTTACCATTTACACACACAGGTTTGTGCACCTCCTGAACCACTGGGCAGGGTACTTGAGCCAGAAGAGATTGCGGCGTTTGGGCGCAAGATGTCATTCTGAACGGCAGAAGCCAGGAAATTGAGCTTGTTGGTACTGCCAAACGCGCTTGCTGGTTGATAGACATTCGGGAACGCAGACTCCGTCAGCATCCATGAGTGGTCGTGAAAGCCCATCATAGGGTCTTCAAGGCTGAAGGGATTCGCTGAATGTATTGAGTTCCGGTCGGCGGAGACGGGGCTAGTGGGCAGGCTCGAGTTGAACCCAAAGTTCATAAAGGTGTTGGCTAGCCCATTTCCCTGTGCTATTGAAGAGCCCCACATGTCCAACTGCTGTTGCGATGCAGACGGGGCGTGGCCGCATGCTCGGCGGGCCCCGTGACAACACGAGTTGTCAATGTGACAGTGGTCGCCGGCGACATTTAGGAAGCAGTGCGGGGAATAAGTTGCTTTGCTAGGCCCCGGTGATTGTTCAGTGGTGAATACACTGTCCAATGAAGTGTAGTTGCTGTGCGACGGTGCTGGTGTCGCGGCGCTCGACGCCGTCGTCGTGATGTCGTCGGCTGGGTGGTACCCGTGAGTCTGAGAGAAACAGGGATACGTCTCAAAGGATGAAAGGTTGCCCTGGTGTCCATGAAAGCCGTCTTGAAAGTGACACGGCGCATCGTCGTAGCAGTATATTGTACCAGCCGGTGTAGGGGCGGTGTGGGCCAAGTGACATTCGTTGTTCGGGTCACCCAAAGGACAAGGCTGAGCGTTACACTTCTGGCAGAAGCATGGCCGGTCTGGACAGGCGATCTTGGTACACTCGAGGTCTACGCAGTTGTCGGTGCAATGTTCGTTTTTCTGGGTGCATCGAGGGTCAAAGCAGGCGTCGTCTTCAGCGCAATCGTCGGCAGGGCAAGGCACTGAGCAATCCGGGTGCGAAGATGGCTCCAAGTGACACTCCTGGCAGAACTTTTCAAAAGAGTCGTCGGGAAAGGGACAGTCTGGCTCGGTGCCCTGGTGAGACTCTGTGGTAGGATGATGAAATTCGCCAACCTTATCGGCCGAAGCCTGGCGTTTAGTCGGACGCACATGGTACGCTTCTGGGCAGTTTTCAGGGCACCTATTGCAACACAGCTGGGGATCAAGAAGGTACTCTTGCGAGCTCGGACCGGAGGATTGGGCAGATTCTGGGGCGGCGTCTCGCAGCTCATCGGCATCCCGCTTTGTGCCCGCGGCGACTGGGGTGGGAAACATGGATTCGGTGGCGCGGAGGTGGTCGTCGTCGCCAAAGGCCGAATCGCGATCGCAGTCTACGCAGTTGTTAGCCATGTTGGAGGAGTCCCGGTTCGTCTGGCGGAGGGGCAGAGTCGCAGGGCTGTCGGTCGGCATTATGGCAGTGTTCCAGGACAGGCCATCTAGGTGCTCAAGTCGGACAAATGAATTTGCAACATCGGGGCCGCAGACAAGTGAAGGGGGGTTTTTGGGTACGTACGTGCGCGTGGCCCCGTCATCCAGTAGAGTCTCTGGCGACCCGCACCTCGACTCTGAGAAGTTTGAAAACTTGGAGGATGCATAGCGCTCGAGGAAGGCGGAATGAATGCGGGCTAGCGCCTCACGACCAGCCCACCTATCACGTGTGGGCGATGGGCTTAGTTGTGTGTGTCGTCATTGGCCGCGCCCTCGAAACCAAGACGTCTGATCTGACTTGGGCCTGGGCAGCGCACCATGGCCTTGCTCTTGGTATACACTGCATGGATGCATGCATCTATTTGCACTCGACGACTTGCTGGCCCGTCTTTCGTCCAAGCGTATCAAGGCCACCGGGCCAGTGGCTCATTGCGGCGACTGGGCACTCCATGTTAGCCTGCCCTACTGTACGTCTTTAGCGTGCCCCCCACTCCCGTGCCATACCTCAGTCTGCTGCTCTTGCTATAGCATCATGCTCTGCGCGTCCGGTGTCGCCATGCGCTGGCCAAGGCTGATGGAGACGGGGGGATTGGCAGGACGAGAGACTCGACGTGCTTGCGGGAGCACGCCAACAAGCCTGAAGGGGCCTGGGTAAGCCGGCGATCCGAGAGACAGGTACTTGGCATCCAATCCCGCGCGCCGCAACTGATTAATGCGCCTTACCCCCCCGCGCCTGCGAGGCTGACATCTCCGCAACCTTCCCTGGACGACTGCAGAATACTGCCCTCGACAACCCGCGGCTCCTCTAGCTGCCCGCTGCCCGCCGTCTCCCTTTGCCAATACAGCTCCCCCTCGCGCATTACACATGGGCAACCTCTGTGGGAAACAGTCCAAAGACAACTTTGAAGGACAAGGGCGCACCCTCGGCTCTGCCCCAGAGCCCGCAACAAGAGCATCTGTACCCAGCAATGCCACCGCTCCCAAGCCAAAGGTCGGAGGACCGCCGCGCACCCTGGGCGACAGCAACCGAGTAGACGACCCCAAAGCCGCCGCCGCCGCTGCAGCCGAGGTACGTGATACCGCATTTACTATCCAATGCGAGGGAAAGCAAACCGGGACGCGCGCGCCATGCTACCCGGACAGACAGACTCCACAGCTCCGTCCACGTACACAGCTAACATGCCCAGGCCCGCGCCAACAAATCCTCCTCAGGCGACCTCCAAAAGAAACTCGACGCGCAGAAACGCCAAACAAACAACCAGACGCTCCAACAAGCCGCCGCCGAGAACCGCCTCGCCCGCGAAGCAGACCAAGCCACCGAGACGAGAAACTACAACTAGCTCCCTTGCAAGCGCGTGTACACAACTACGAGGCGAGGGAATTTCATTGATCGCGACACCAGAAAGAGCACGCGAGTAGGCGCATACTTGTATATACAGGCATTGGAACCACCACCACCATCACATACCCACCCTTTACGAGTGATGATTCCGGGAGTCGCTTTTTTTTTCTTTCTTGGGGTTCAGAGGCGATTGAAGCATTTAGCATTGTTCGCATGACCTAGGGCGTTTTTGGGAGACGGGTTGAGAGGCGGACGAGAAGGAGGGTTTTCTCACTTTGTTGTGTTGGCTATGCAGGATTTCTACCATGGCTTTTTTTTTAAGTTCTTGGTCGCAAGAAAGGGGAGAGAAAGAGAGAAAGAGTATGTATGTGTGTGTGGGTGGGTGAGAGAGAGAGAGAGAGAGAGAGAGAAGGATAGAATACATCAACCATTTTATATTCTCCATATAGATCATGCTATAGAGTCTCCACATTCCATCCCGTCCCATCCTTCTGTTTCCCTCGCCATACATGCATACAACTCACTTCATACCATGACCAATCCCAGAGCAAACAACACTGCCCACTTTATTGTCATGCCATATTCCGATTTCTCCTTCTTTCTTCTTTCTTCTTCTTCTTCTTCTTCTTCTTGTACCAACCACCTACCCTCCCCCTTCCACACAAGTACACTAAATAACCATCGTGTACGCATCACAACAAGACGATTCTAATGTCCCAAATCCAACAATTTTCCATCCACTCCACCTTGTAATACCATGTAGAAGAAACACAGATGCAGAAAGAAAGAAAGAAAGAGGAAGACACATATGAAGAGAGGAGAGATGGTATAAAAAACCCCCAAAGGGTATATTTACATACATACATACATACATACAAGTCCGGGATTTGAACCAAACCACCATACACATACAGTACATGTAAGTAACCATAATGCCAGTATCGATGCAAGAGCTCCGCACCAGAGTACACACCATCACCGCCAGACGTATCCCATGCACTCAATGACCGTGTATAAAACGATGTAGATGCTGATGCTGAGACTGATGCTGAGACTGAGACTGCTCATTACAAGAACTCCCCATCCATCATCCTCATCAATGAACCAACCAATCAACCAATCAATCCAAGCCCGTTACCAGCCCACCATCCCATGCATCCGTCATCGTCGTCGTAATCGTCATCGTAGTCATCGCCCATTACGACCTAGACACGGAAGCCCGAAACCCCTAAAAAAAAAGGGACAAGAAAAACCCAACCCAACCCAACCCAACCAACTAACCAACCAACCAAACAAACCGATCAAAACCATCCAGCTCTGGATTTCTGTTTTTTTCTCTCTTTCTAGCGGATTGGCAAGGGGGATATATATATCGATCTTTCGCATTCGCAGACGTACAAAATCAAAAAAAGTTATAGCCAAAAGACAATGGAGATTGAGAACGAGAACGAGAGAACCCCGGATATGCAGGCAACGCCGTCGCTAGAGTAAATAAGAAAAGGAAAAAAACATTGAAAATCTAAGTAAAAGCGACATTTAAAAGAAGAGAGAAAGAAAGAAAGGAAGGAAGGAAGGAAGGAAGGAAAAAAAAAACGCACATCCCCCAAGACGAATGAATTGGTATTAGGAGAGATTGCCCAGCCACAAGCTACAAGCGTGCATCCATGCATGCATAGAAGACAATAAGTAGTAGCGCGGGGGCTTATTTTTTTTAGTTGAAGAAAAAAAACCCCCCCCTCTCACCCTTGGTTCTTTCTTCTTCACTCTTCCTTCTTTCTTCTGCTTTGTGTTCGGCCGTCCAGGGAAAATAAAGTGTAAAAAAAAATTGTATATGATTGAAACGCCCAGAAGGCGATGTTTCGAAGAAGTGAAAGATCATGAGGATGCCGTTTAGGCAACAACCTCGGGTACAGCTGCACGACCACCACCGACAAGCTCGAGGATCTTGCCGGCCACGGCAGCAGGGTAGCCGCGAGACAGGCCCTCGTTGACGACAGTCATAGCGGCTGAACGGTCCTCGACGGCCATGTAAGCACGCGTCATGGCTTCGTACGTGCTGGGCTCGCGCTTGCTCTCGGGTACCGAGTCGTAGATAGCCTTGGCCTTTTCAATGTCATGTGCAAGCGCCCAGCCGTGAATCAGGGAGTTGGCAATGTAAGGGGTCATCTCGACACCACGGGCGCGCATGTCAACCAGAACAGACTCGGTGTCGGCAATCTGGTGGTTGGCGACCATGGCCTCGAACAGCGCCTGGTAAAGACAGGCCTGGGGAGGCATGCGATTGTCGACGAGAACGGTGTCAAAGAGTTGGCGAGCACCTTCCATGTCGTGCATCACGCAGCCCTTGGCGTGGATCAATGAAGAGTAGTGGACAGCTTCAGGGACGGCACCAGCAGTGCGAACCTGCTCGAGTACCTTCTCTGCAGCCTCCATGTCAACAGGCTCAAGCGTGGCGTAGGTGTCGATCAGTAGCTTGTAGGTGTGTGTAGTAGGCTCGATGCGCTTAGCACGCATGCGCTCGTAGTAGCTGAGAACCTTGCTGCGGTCACGCTTGGTCGTCAGGAAGAACTGCATCATGCTGTGGTAGGGAGCAGGGCGAGGCTTGTAGTTGGGCATGCTCTCCATCTCCTCGAACAGCTCCTCGGCGAACTTCTCGTCACTGACACGGCAAAGAGCATTGACAATGGTGCCGTAGGTAACAGAGGTAGGACGGATACCAAGGTTGCGCATCTCGGAGAAGTAGAAGAGACAGTCGTCAATACGGCGAGCCTTTCCAAGCTTGCCGATGAGAGCGTTGTAAAGGAAGGACGAAGGCTCAACACCCTCAGCCTTGGCACGAAGGAAGATTTTGACAGCCTCGGTAGCCTCGTCAAAGGTCTTGGTAGACTCCTTGAGGGTGGTGATGTAGAGACCAAAAGTGTTGGCGGTAGGAGCGGCACCCATCTCAAGGAGGTCCTGGTGATACCTTCCAGCGAGATCACGCTGGTTGCAGGTAAGGCAAGCAGCGACCATTGCATCCAGAATGGTAACCCATCCGTATCGAACAATGCGGTACTGAGGCAGCAGAGGAACATCCTGCTTCGCGAGGTTCAGGATGTCGTGAGCCAGGTTCAAACGGTCCTCCTTGGCTGCGGCAGTGATGAGCTTGGCATAGGTAAAGAATCGAGGGTGGCGACCAGCCCGACGCATGTTCCTAAACTTCATCAAAGCCTCGTTGAGGTGGGTGGATGACCGTCCATGAGTCTTCTCGAGCAGTTCGGTGATGGCGACAGATCCCTTGTTGTCCGTCGACGCAGCGTATGGGTCGTACTGGTCCTCAAAGGTGGGGGCTGCTGGAGTGGCGGGCGCTTGGACGGGGTAGGCGGCGAACGGGGCGGGAGAGTACAGCGACTCTGGAGCTGGGTGCTTGTAGGCATACCAGCGGTGCTGAAGATCGCCTCGGTCGAGCTTGGTAAGCACCTGCTCGACAAGGCCAGACGTCGTCTTGTTGACTGGGGTGCCGCTTGCAGTGATGACCTCGAGAAGATGGGCGAACCGTGCAGCGTGAGCAACATCAACCTCAGCCTCTTGAAGGAGGATGCCGGATTGGACCTGCATCAGGAGCGTGATGTCGTCGAAGTTGAGTTGAACAACGGCCTCAGGTCCCATTCCAGCAAGTAGGTGGTGAGCAACTGGGGTGACTAGGCCGCCGTTTTCAATCATCGTCCACATCAGTTCCATGCTAGCCCGCGGCGGAAGGAAGATGCCACGCTTCATCATGAACTGACCCATAACCTCGATAGCTTCATCAACTTGCTCTACGATCTCCATCTTGGCTTGAGTAGAGCCAGACTGAGAGTCCCGTATGCGAGCAAACATTTGACGACCCTGACGAAGACCGCGTTCCGCATGCCCACTGCCAATCAGCGCAATGCTGTGCATGGCAGTGGGCTCGATGAAATCGGGCTTCGTAGGCGACAGCTCGAGCATCCTCCAAAAGACCTCGGCTGCTTCAATGTTTCCAGTGCGAATGTGCATGGCTCCCATGGCCATGGCCGGCCGAGAGAGGTCAACCTCAGCCGGCAGGTCATCGAAAGCCTGAGTAGCGACCTCGACGGCGTCGCGGTCGGCAGCCTTGATGCAGATGGCAGCCATGGCGATTTGGCGGGCCTGCGGGCTGAGATACTCGGTGGCATGCACGTAGGCTTCCTCGAAAGAACCATTCTTCAGCCACTCCGGAAGGAAGGCCTTGAGGCCTACAATGTCGCGAACCGAAGTAACATCTTCAGGCGCAGTGAGTCCGCTTTCGATCTTTGCCACAAACTTCTGAGCGCCCTCCAGACGATCGCAGACCGTGTAAGCCTTGACAAGGGCGGCGTACACGTCGTTGTCTTTCCGAGAAATCTCAATCTCGCCATTGTCGTTTGAGATTGCGAGCGTCTTGTATTCGTCGTAGCACTCAACCGCGCTCCTCAAGTCGCCCGACTTGCCGAAAGCGTGGATCATGGGGACGAACATGTCAGCAGCCGGAGTTACACCTCGCGATTCCATGTGCGAGTAGATTCGCACCATGTCCTCTACGCGGTCGCCCTCCGCACAAGCAGTGACAAGTAGTCGGTAAGTCTTCTCAGCAAATGTGCGGCTAACTTCGCTGCTAACGGCCGCATCAAAAAGTCTCACAGCGACTGACAGCGATCCATCTTCAGCCAGGATGGCATAGTCAGTCTCGTGCGACTGGAGCATGAATCTTCCCTCCTCTTCCATTCCACCGTACCGCAGTCGCCTGTCTTCAAAGCTCTGCCTCAAAGACACAACTTCCAAGGATCTGATGGAAAGGAGCTCGAGGAGCGTGGTGTACGTGGCAGTGTCGGGAGCCACGCGTCGACGAAGCATATCCGAGTATACATCCAGCGCCTTGGGAACAACCTGGTGCTGGGCCCGAGGAAGGTGTATCGCTGCGGACAGAAGAGCGTTGTATGCAGTGGCCGATGGCTGGACCTCTGAACGAAGCATAGCCTCGAAGACGGCAGGGACTTCGGCATAGTTGTGATTGACGACCAGCTTCTGCAGCTGTACCGTGTACTCATCATGTGCTTCGATTGGGCTGGTGGCGACTGTTGAATCCGCATGGCTGAAGGTTGTCGAAATTACTAGAGTGTCCGAGACAGTGGCAGGCGACTCTGATCGGGCCTCCTGGACGGAAGAAACCTCCTCGTCGACGGCCTTGTGCTTGGCCACCTCTTGTGCAATGGCCTCGTCTACTTGGGCCAACGCAATCTTCTCCGCCTCTTCACCACCGACAGCCTTCTTGAAATCCTCTACCTGACTAGTACTGTACGCGCGACTGACGGAGCCACGAGCAGGAGCCGGGACCAGGTCTGCCGTCTCTTCAATCGCAACGCTACTCTCCTTGATCTCGGCAGCATTCTTGGCGCTTGCCGGATCCCATTCGATGAGCTTGCGGAACTGGAATTGCGACCATTCCTTGTCGTCGGTTCGCTGGTGCTTTTGCCATGCAGTGTAGTAGGCAGCTAAGCCCGAGTCTTGGTGGTCTGGTTGTCCAACAGCGAGCGCCTTGAGGGCACTCGTCGTGGACGAAGTCGAAGCAAAAGCATGTTGGTTTTTGAGGCCTTTGCGGAAGCGGTCGTGCTGGAGCGAGGCAAGAGGATTGTTCTGGCTAACACCAGCAACTACTGACTGAGCATAACCGTGAGTGAAGCCTTTGGCAAGACTCTGGCGCGCGAGGTGAAAGCTCTTAAAGACCATTTAGGAATTGGAGGAGCCCTTCAGATGGGAAGGGTGAGACTGAAAGATGGTCAGCACGAGACGTGGGCGGGGCGTGTGTGCGCCTGATAATCAAGTTGGCTCGGAGACGGGGCTCGGAGTTAGGCCGGCGCGTTTTCAAGATGGAGATTTTTTTTCTGTGTGTGTGTGTGTGTGTGTTTAGGCAGCAGAATTATGACTCTGGCGCCGCAGCCCGGGGGCGATTGGCGTTGCCGTGCAGCGATGATGAAGACGAGTTACGTACTATTCTCGAGATCCCTACGCGACGGTGCAGGTTCATTTGACGATGGCCGTCAAACAAACGCGCTTTTCGGGTGTAAGGAGTACGTGCGTTGATTGTGGGGAAAAACGAAGGTTTTGGGAAAACCTATGCGCGCGCACAATTGTCTTGGGGAGAGCCGTCGCACCGGAATATAAAGATACGAAGGAAGGGGGTGGGGACGGAGGAGAGGAGAAAAAAAGCGTACGGCGCGCTGTGGCCTGGAGACAGACAATTTACCAGCCACGAAGGCAAGATTTTTTTTTCCAGCAGAGTATTAGCGGGAGCCAGAAAGGAAGCTTCGAGCGCAAACCAAGGTGGAAGTCGTCATGGAAAGAATTAGGACCGATGGCGATGGCCGCTAGGGTTGCCGAAAAATTATCGCATGTCGCGCTGGGCCGCGTCGAGAGTAGCGCGTGGCCATGCCCAGGCCGGACGACGTGGCCTCGCGGGGAGAGAAACATGTTTCCGGGCCAATGGGAGCGGCCCGCCGCCTTTTGCCCGGCGCGCGCCCTGTCGGCGCCGGGCAGCTTCTGGCTCCGCCGCCGTCGATGAGTCAAGCCGAACGACGAGAACAGCACCAAGACGGCGGGCTGCACCCCACACACGATGCGAGCTGCAGGTCATGAGCGTGGGCATGAGCATGGCGAGCTTCAGTGCGCCGCCGCCGCCGCCGCCTCCGATCGCAGCGCCTGTGTCCAAGGGAGGATGAATCGTGTGTGTGTGTGTGTGTGTGTGTGTGGCTATGCGCCAGCACCAGTGTTACTATGGCTGCATGGCTGCATGGATGGGAGTGCGCGCACGTGACCAGCAGCCATCACCATCGTGACAACGGCGCACACTAGCCGCATCCAGCTCGAGCGCGTCGCTGCAGAAAAAAATACAGCGAGCCATATGGTACACTAACACACTACGTACATGTATGTGTGTGTATGTGTGTGTGCACGAGAATGGGTGGCATCAGGCGTGACCCACTGCGCGGTGCATTTTGCTGTGCTGTTTTGGCAATTCACCCATCACACACACACCCCGCCAGCTCGCGCGTCAGCCACTAGCCAACCATCCCAGCCCAGCCCAGCCAACCAGCCAGCCAGCCTCAGGCTCTAAACACACTGCCTGCCGCCGATATCTTTGCCGCAGCCCGACCCTCTTGCGAAGCCGACTAATCTGCTTTGCCGCTCCTCCCCCTACCACACACACACGCCCACCACCCAGCCGCTCCACTTTGCAGCCATGTCCTCGTCACACGCCCCCTTAGCCCCCACGGCCGTGTCTTGTCCGGCCAAAGTGCTCGTTGCCGGTGGCTATCTCGTGCTCGACCGCGACTACACGGGCCTGGTCTTCGGCCTCGACGCCAGAATCCACACCGTCGTCGCCCCCGTCAAGACCAGGTCCGGCGTCACCATCAATGGCATCCTCGTCACCAGCCCCCAGTTCCGCGAGGCCATCTGGGAATATGGCTACAGGCTGCAGGAGAAGAGTGGCGGCATGGCCATCACACAGCTGAGCATGTAAGTTATTGTATATTACTTTGTTTTTGTTTCCTCCAGTCTATCCAAGTGTTCATTATTTTTCTTTCCCTTTGCTCGATATTGATTGCGTGTGTGTGTGTGTGTGTTGTGTGTGCGTGTTTTTTCTTCTTTTCTTTTTGGTATTGCATTCTCACCTCCCCAAGCCTCATGTCATATCTCTACTCAATCGGGTAATGCACTTGTCAAACGTCACCCAATCACGTACTGCACCAGCGGCTGTCAGAAGGGGCGGTGAACGTCTTCAGGGTTTACCTGCAGCATTACACAACATTTTCGTCTCAACAAGGTTCCTCTAGGCCTCCGTTCGGGTGCCGTCGCTATCCTGTGTCGAGGCCCTGCTTGCTCGCAGTCACATGACCAGGGGTGCTTGGTCCGGTCTATGAGCATCACAGTCACCCGTCGTTGTCACTTTGTAGCCTGCAACCCCGAAGACAACATGACTAACGCCACGCAGCGGCCACGAGCAATCCATTGCCCACTCCCGCAACCCCTTTATAGAAACCGCCCTTACCTATGCCCTGACCTACATCCAAACCCTCCTCCCCGACACCCTCATCCAACCCTCCAGCATCCGCATCCTGGCCGACCAAGCCTACTACTCTAACCCCGGCACGCCCCGCAGCTCAAACATCATCGCAGAGCCGCACAAGACGTCGCGCTTCCAGGACTTCAATGTCACTCTCAAGGAAGCGCACAAGACCGGCCTGGGCAGCAGTGCCGCCCTCGTCACCAGCTTCACAGCCGCGGTGCTGGAATTCTACCTGCCCAAGAGCCTTTTCGACATGAGCACCGAAAAGGGGCAAATGATTCTGCACAACCTCGCGCAAGCAAGCCATTCGTATGCCCAGGGCAAAGTCGGCTCCGGCTTCGACATTGCCAGCGCCGTGTTTGGCTCCTGTCTGTACAAGCGCTTCTCGCCCTCGCTGCTCAGCAGCCTCCCGCAGCCCGGCAGTCCCGGTTTCGCCACTCAGCTGCGGTCGCTGATCGAGGGCCCCGCCTGGGACACGGAGATCAAGAAGGCCCCCATCAAGATGCCCAGGGGCCTCCGCCTCGTCATGTGCGACGTCGACTGCGGGAGCGAGACGCCCGGCATGGTGAAGAAGGTGCTCGCGTGGCGGGCAGACAAGGCCGAAGAAGCGAATCAAATCTGGAACGAATTGCAGGCTGGAAACGACGCGCTGGCTGCAGAGCTTACGCGCCTCGCGACCGACGACCAAGGCGATGATTATTCCAAGTACGACGCCCTGCGACAGATTATCTCCAAGAATCGCGCTTTGATTCGTGCCATGGGCGAAAAGTCGGGTGTGCCAATTGAGCCGCCTCAGCAAACCCGTCTGCTCGACTACTGTTCAAACCTCAAGGGCGTCATTGGCGGCGTGGTACCTGGCGCCGGCGGCTTCGATGCCATTGTCCTGCTTGTGCAAGACAGCGAAGACATTGCCGAAGCACTCAAGACATCCTTGGCGCAGTACAATGACCCAGAAGCGACCGGCAAGGTGGGTGTCATAGGCGTCAGAGAAGAAATGGTAGGCGTCAAAGCCGAAGACCTAAGCCTCTACAAGGAGTGGGAGGAGTTGAGCTAAAATTTCTGTAATGCGACGACGTTGAGAGTAAATACGCACCAAGACTTGCAAGCCCTGATTCAACATTAGCGCAAAACCCTGTCCCGTATACCAATGCTAGTCAATCCTTGCATCTACGGCCCCGCTATCTTTTGGCGTGCGCGAAACCCTTTCTCAAGACTGTACCCGCTACACGCCTGCGGCAGCCCTACAACACAACACATGGGTACGGGACATGGAATTCTATGGTCAAACTCCCTTCACAAATCATGAGGTATCATTTCCGTGCTTGTCTGAACTTTTTATTCATAGATCTTGACATGGACGCCAACCCATTTCCGTTAAAGATCGCCATGTCCGTCCACTCCCATCTGCTACGCCACCTTCCTCGCTCCTCTGGAGTGTGGTACTACGAGTACACGGGTGAGTCGCTAGCTGGAAAAGCCCCGGCAATGCAATGCTTCATGAGATAAACGAAGAAAGAGAAACACCTTGGCCAAAGCGCGCTTATGCCTTGACGGCGTACTTTCGCTGGGGGAAGTGTGTTTGCTTCTTCTTCTGCTTCTCCGTGACGAGCGAAGCCTCGTGCTTGGTGAGTCTTCGGCGGATGGCGCGGGTCTGCTTGGGGCGGAGGTCAAGAGGAGTGTACCTAACCAGGGTTAGCTACACGCGTGGACACCGTTTTTTTTCTTTGCTGGCCTAGACGCACTTCTTGCCCTTGTAGAAAAGCCTGAGCTGAGCCCTCTGGTTGGCGTTGATGACAGTGAGGACCTTGGCGATACCCTTGCGGACGTCATGAATGCGGGTGAGCTTGGTGTTGGAACCTCCGGTGACCTTGGCGGTCCTGAGCTGGATCAACTCCCTTCACTTCCTGTCAGCATTCCAATTCGCCTTCGCGTGCTCGGTTCCTGGGCGACGTACGACTTGAGGTCGGCGAGCTGGCCGGCGAGCTCATCCTTGGACTTGTTCCACAGCTGGGCGGTCTTCTGCAGCGGGTGTGAGTACGAGGCTGGAGGCAGGCATTTGCGCGAGCGAAGGTTTACGTACGACCTTGGGGGCAGACTGCGAGCACTCAGTTAGCATTTGTTCGCATCATCATGCAATCTTCAATCTTTGCGCAGGCACCACTAGCAGAGGCTGCAACTGCCCAGTCCCTCCAATGCGGGCGTGTCCCGCCCTGCGCAGCGCAATCCCCCTCCCAAAAAACAACATTGAGATCATAGACGTACCATTTTGACTGTGTGTTAGTAGGACCGGGTGATGTGGATAGGGTCTCGCGTGTCGTCTGCGATGAACTTTTGGTGTTGTTCGAAATCGAGTGTGTCGGCCGGAGCCTCGCTAAACATTTCGCCGATTACCAATGGGAACTAGCGGCTTGGCTGTGCATTGCGTAGCCTGCGCCGGGCCAGGTGCGACGCTCACGTTGCCAGAACTCAAGACTGATTGCTGCCGCCTGTTTTACCTGGAGAGAGGAGAGAAAACGCAACCTTCGACATGTCTTCTACTGGGGGAGGATGGGCACAACTGCGCCAGCAAGCGCGCACTCTGGAACAACAAGTAGGCTTCACTCACTGCTGCGGAGGACTTGGCTTGCATAGTTGCTAACGAAGCATGGCAGACTGAGACGCTATTCCACACATATTCACAGTTTGGATCAACGCCGAACATACCTGCGAAACCATCAGAGGAAGAGCTGCGGGTAGAAACCAGGCTGCATGATATTCTGGAGCAGCGGGAAGCGCTTGTCGCTCAGCTATCGCGGCTACTCGACTCTGAATCCACACATGGCTCCTCGGCCGTGAAGCAAAATAACCTTGCTAGGCATCGCGAGGTGCTCTCGGATCACCGGCGCGAACTCGCGCGTCTCAAATCTTCTCTCAACGACGCCCGCAACCGAGCCAACCTCCTCTCGAACGTACGATCGGACATTGACGCCTATCGTTCAGCCAACCAAGCCGAGGCCGACTACATGCTTGACGAGCGGAACCGCATCGAGAACTCGCACAACGTAGCCGACTCAGTCCTCAGCCAGGCATACGCCGTGCAGGAGAACTTTGCTATCCAGAGGGAAACACTAGCAAACATCAACCGGAGGATAGTGGGCGCTGCAAGTCAGGTACCCGGAATCAACAGCTTGATGGGAAGGATCGGCTCTAAGAAGAGAAGAGACGGTATCATACTGGCAAGCTTCATCGCGTTTTGTTTCTTGATGCTGTTATGGTTCAGGTAATGATTTGGGTTCCAACATCTTCATATACGGCGTTGAGCGGGCGGGATATCCTCATGACCTTGTTTGGGTCTGTTGCAGACAAGACGACGTCGTCGTCATGATGTACAAGTATGTTACAATGCTTTTTCCGGTCGAAGCGCTATTGCGCCTCGGCAACCATCTTGGCGAATCCTCTGTTCATGTCCTCCATCTCGGTGCCCTCTGCATTTCCGCTCCCTGCCCACCGAATCTTGCAGTTTTGGTCCACAAGATAGACGTACCCGACTCTGCCATTCAACAAGCCGATTGTCTCTCGAATCCGCTCACTAACGCCTTTCCTGACGATGAAGTAATTGCCCCACTCCTCTTTTGGTTTGGAGGCCCTCAATCGCCACTGGAAAAGCGCAATGATCCATGCCTTCATGCTGTTCTCCTCGATGTTGATATCCACCATCTGCGCTACCCCGGGGTGTTGTGAAAGCATATTGTGTAGATCGGTATTGCTCTTTTTGCTGGTGAATGTCTCCACCTGGCCTAGACCCCACTGCGAGCTATACACATTCACTACACTGACCTTGCCCGCCAAGACATTGGTCGTATCTTTGTCTTTGCCCTCCAGCGTATCTCCGTGGAGATTTGGAAAATACAATGCTGCCTCTTTCTTGAAGATCCTAGGGTTGGCCATAAACGTCTTGCCTGACCTGTATTTGCGGATATGCTTGAAGTCGCGAAAATAGTTTGTACCCCACTTCTCTACCAGATCCTTGCGCTTCTCAAGGTTTCGCTGCGACATTGTCATGCCAGAATAGTCTTTTTTGATCTTGGGTATGCTGGCATTTTCGCCTGGCTGCGGGGCAGACTTGAAGCCGATGGGTCGACCGAGGGGCTTTGGAACAAATACATCCTCGTCTTTGGGGTCGGGTGTGGGCGTGGACTCAGTCGTCTTTGGATCTGTGGCTGGCCGGCGGAGAGTTTGGGCAGAAATGAAGGTCCGAGCAAATGATTGCTGTGCAATTGACCCGGTCGCAAGTCGTGTCTGGCATCTCAGGCATACTGAATGCCTATAGAGCAATGTGTGCTGCAGCGGCGCCGCTATTCGTGGCTGTAACATTGTGGATGTCGAGCAATTCAATGTCCCGCCAAACTCGAGAAATGATGAAAGCGAGCTCTGATCTAGTGCGAAAACGGACATAGTGACACGTGCTTTCGCGTCAGCCGACAACCTTGTACGCGCCGGCTGCCTGGGTGATGTTGCACGGCGCCTTCACCGATCCACTCTCAGTTCCCTTTCACCAACAGTCCCAGCGCAGTATATAGTTATGAAGTTCTCGAGTTTTTGGTGCTCGGAGCGCAACCTACCGGACATTCGACACCCGCAACCCACCAACGGTTGAGATAATTTGGACTTTTGATATTGGTTCAACATAGTTCAGCCTCCGCAACAGTTAAGCTCGCATTTGCTCTATTTTTGGCTTGCCAGCCTTTGGCCTACCATGTCAGATCCCGAGCTCGCAGCTAAAGAAGCCTACTTCCAGGCACATGCCCTATTGGATCTCTCAGATGATGAATCAGATGCCCCAAATGAAAGCGTACGCAATCTTGAACGTGCGCTGGAAGATTCGAAACCCAAATCACCACCCCCGCTGCTGAAGCACACGAGTAGTTTTCTTGGACCAACCCCTAAAGAGAGACAAATCGAATTCGAGGGGCACACAAAGAAACGGCGAGTTTCTGAGCGACAACTGACACAAAAGGCGACTCGATCATTGACGGCGCCTGAACCAGAGCCCTCGGAGAGCCTCCAAACTACCAGACCACCGAATGGCGCTGTTGCAAGGACAAATAGCAGCAAAAGTCGAATGAAGAGAACTATATCCCTGACCCAACTACTTGGCAAGGAAGATACACTGTTTTACAAGCGGGTAGGGGCCATTCCTCGCGAGCTCAGACACGGGAAAAATGCGAAGCCTGCCAACAACATCAAGCTGGAACCTGAACATAAACAGTTGCTCAAGGACAAAATAATCTACTTCTACCCAAACGACGATATCTCCATGGCGCGGCGACGACGCATACATAAAGTAATCCAACTTGGTGCTGCTTGGGCAAACGTATGGAGTGACAGTGTCACACATATCATGTTGGATGATGACACGTACACATGTTCTCAGTTGATGCGGCATTTGAGTAAGCCGATACCTACTGTATGTGTATGTCTGGTTTCATAATCTGGTGAGCTAACCGTCATCCAGAACGTCGTTTTGGTCAAATTTGATCCATACGTACCGCAATGCATCATGCGCGGAGAGCTCTTGGATCCTGGTGCTTCCTACTTCATTGTGAAGGGTGACGACAGGATAAACAAAGTTGCCCAAACCCCAGAGCCTGCTCTTGCAGCCACTCCGGTGCAGAGTTCGCCACATATAAGACCCTCGAAAAGACAAATGGTTACTCGGGGATCACAGAAGACCGACTCGTATGCCACGGAAGAAAGCGTGCCGTCCACCCATCCGGTGATAGATGCAGCACCTTCCAGTCCTCTTGAAGATATTGTAGAGGATAGCTTCATTATGCCTTCTGCAGGAGATAATAGAATTCCGGAACCGCAAACTACAGATCATTTCGGCGATGCTCTTTCTCAAGCTATCCAAGAGACTAGAGCTCTCGCGCATCTGCCTCTCGATGACGATGACGATGGCGATGCAGAAACGCCCGAGTCAAGCGATGTGGAAAGTGTGAAGGAGGTGGATAACGTCGAAGAATCATTGATAATGGATCCGAGGCTACTCGCGCAGCACAATATTGTCTCGAAAGCATCGGCTTTACGCAACAAGAAGCCCCTCAACATGAACGCCTTCCAATGCATGAACCCAAGCATCAGTGGCAATACTTCACATAACCCAAACGCCCGAACGATTCAGATTTTAGACGAGATGTGCAAGCACTACGATAGAATGCAAGACCAATGGCGAACCATGAGCTACCGCAAGTGCATTGCCACGCTGAAGAAACAAAACGTCAAGATCACCACTGCAAAACAAGCCGCAGGGCTACCTTTTATTGGCCCCCGCCTTGCTGCCAAAATCGAGGAGATTGTGCTTACAGATCGTCTTCGCAGACTCGACAGTACACGCACCGAGCCTCTAGACGTAGTCCTACATCTCTTTACAGGCGTCTACGGCGCCGGACTCGTCCAAGCCAACAAATGGATGCAAGCCGGGTACCGCACACTCGAAGATGTCAAGGCCAAGGCCAAACTCTCAGAAAGCCAAAGACTCGGTATTGAGCACTACGCCGACTTCAACTCGCGCATTCCACGCGCCGAAGTCGAAGCCCACGCCGCCATTGTCGCCGCCGCACTCCAGAAGATCGACCCGAAATTCAGCACTACGATAATGGGCAGTTACCGGCGCGGCGCACAGGATTCAGGCGACATCGACTTGATCCTGACACGGCCCAACACGTCACTCAGTGCCATGCGCACTGTAGTCTTCGAAGTGCTGATCCCGCACCTGTACGAACTCGACTTCCTCAAAGCCTCGCTAGCCACACGGCGCAGCAACGACTCGAGCGGCTCGAAATGGCTCGGCGCCTCGTGTCTGCCTGGCTCGAGTGTGTGGCGCCGAATCGATTTCCTGCTGGTCCCCGAAGACGAAATGGGTGCCGCGCTGCTGTATTTCACCGGCAACGACATTTTCAATCGCAGCATGAGGCTGCTGGCGCGCACGAAGGGTATGCGGTTGAACCAGAAGGGGCTGTACACGGATGTGCAGAGGGGTCGGCGCGCTGAGAAGCTGAATGAGGGTGTGTTGGTTGAGGGTCGGTGTGAGAAGCGCATCTTCGACATCCTCGGGGTGCCGTGGAAGGAGCCGCATGAGCGTGCTTGCTAGACGGGTGAATGCATGTACTGGGGAAGGATAATAGGAGTTGTCGATTGGAGGGCTTGGATTGATACTACGAGGAATGACAGTGTGTGCTTGGCCTAATTAAGACAGAATACGAATATAAACATATTTCACAGGGCTGAAAAGCGAAAGTAAAAACTGTTATACAGAATCTAATACACCGACTCGACTCGAGCCGTCAAACCCGCATTTCACGCTTCCACAGACTCCGTCCTCTCCATCTCTTGCTGCTGCAAATCCACATCCAACGCCTTCTTACTCTCGGCTATCCTCCCCGTACACAGCGCCAGCAAATAAACACCATACATGACGCTGCCCTTGCGCTCTTCGCGCTGCACCTTTCCGCCTGCCGTCCTCTTCTCCTTCCGCCCAATCCACACGTTGCCGAGGAACAAAGAGGCGAGAATCGAGAGGCCCATGAAGGGCAGCACGGAAACCAGGGCCCACATGATTGCGGTTGCAGCCGCATCCTGGACTTGAGTTTTGACTGCTGCAGGCAAGCTGTCGAGCAGCTCGACAGACGGGATTTCCGTGGAGGAAGAGACGGGGATGCTGCCGTGGGTACTGATGATGCGAGATAGCAGTGTGGAAAGCTTGTTGGAAAAGACACTGCCCATCATGGATATCCCGACTGTCTGGCCGAGAGGCAGCATGAAGCCTAGCAGCGACTGGATGCTAGTGACGCGCGTGGACCAGATGCCTGCTGCGTGCAGCGTAGACGGCATAAAGCGGAGTCCTGTGCCTGCGCCCGTGACGGCGACAAACACCTTGACGAGCACGGTGTGGCGAATGGAAATCGAGTACGTGAGCACCGCGAGCCCCACGCCTTCAACGACAGATCCGAGTATCAGCGGGAACACGGTTTGGCCGGGCCAGAAGTTGCACATGGTGACTGCCGAGTAGACGCCTACGCCCAGCCCGGGCGTGTAGAATAGAAGCTGCAGCCCGGCTTTGCTGGGCGAGTAGCCCTCTGCGAGCTGCCAGTAGTACGAGAGGAAGTAGAAGGCGGCGACGAGGCTGATTCCCGCGGCGAAATTCATAGCCATGAGGAGGGAAGTGTCTTTTTTGCGGAAGAGCACAGAAGGGATCATGGGGATTTGGCGGGGAAACAGGCGTGCGGCGGCGCGGCCGGGCCCAAGCAGGTACTCGTAGATGAAGAAGAGGATGCAGAGGATGCCGCCGACGGTGAAGGGGGCAATCACGCCGGGAGACGACCATGCATATTGGCTGCCGCCCCATTGCATGGCAAGGATGATGCAGCCCACGCCAAAAATGAACATGGTGGCGCCGGGCCAGTCGATGATGGCAAGGCCTGAGATGTAACCTAGGCGGCGGGAGCTGTGTTTTTTGGTGGCAGTACGGCCTTGGACGAGTTCCTTGCGCATGAGGAGAGCAATGGCGAGCATGGCTAGCACCGAGACGCCGACTGGAAGCACGAAGATGTAGCGCCAGCCTGCGTCTGCAAGGGAGCCTCCGATGACTGGTCCTACTGCGTAACTGATTGCAAAGATTAGCCTGTATCTTCCAAGGTAGGGGCGGCGTGGGAAGAACATACCTGCACCCGCTGATCAGCGACAAGATCGAGTTGCTGCTCGCATTGTTGGCAAGCGATGTGCCGTCGGATAGGATGATGCGGCTCAAGCTCATGATGCCCGCAGCGCCCAAGCCCTGCAGTGCCCGTCCTACAAGCAGCATGGTCCATGACTGAGCAGACACGCACAGTACGCTGCCGACCATGATCCAAAACATCTCGAACTGGAGAGCAAAGTGTCGGCCGTAGATATCTGCCAGTTGGCCCGAGATGGGGATGAAGGCTGTAAACGTCAGAGTGTAGGCGGCTACGATCCAGTTGAAGCCTCCTGATAGTTGGTCTGGAGACACGCGTTAGTCTTTGGGCGGTCATCGTGTATCACAAAGGGTAGGTATACCAAAATGAGATGATATCAGTGGAATAGCAGGGGCGACAATGGTGACATCCATGGCAGCCAGAAAGTTTGGCAGTACGAGTCCTAGCAGCAGCTTCCAGTGTCGAATCTTGTTTCGCCGCTCTTCAGCCTTTTGCCGTGCTGCCTCTTCCGGGGTAAGAAAGTTGACATGGCTTCCTGTTGATTCTGGGACAGATGTGCCATTGTGCTCGTTCACAGCACTTTGTACTGATATGTGTTCGGGTACTAGATGGGAATCGTCGGTGGTGGGAATGCCCTTTTGAGCCTGGCGTTCATTGCGCTTTCTTTGGACATATTTGTACAGTAGTATCGCCATGGCAAATGATATATGAGAAAAGCCTCAATGGAGACGGTGGTGATGATAACACATGCTGGCATGCCGCAATGTTTAATACTGTGTACGCTGAACTTGTGGAATACTTTCCCGGCAAGCCACTTCCCTTGCAAGGCATCATTGTGGCTGTGGCAGTGATCAAGGTACGCGTATCGACAGGGCTGAAGTGCCGAATGTAAAAGTTATGCTCTGTTTATCCTAAAGACTCGTAAATATTTCGGCCTTGCTCCGTTATGACCGTTGGATGCCTTATCTCGTATGGCTATACCTATTTGAGCCAGCTGGACGAGCCAATCGCATCGATGACTGGTGCTGGCATTTTGACCGGTTCGAAATTGTCTGGTTGCGATTGGTGAAGTTTACAGCCACACTGGGGCACATGAGACGTCCAGAAGTTCATCCTGGCGTCGTTTTCCGGATTAGTGTGCTCTATAGGGGGGGCTGAAGCATGTCCAAGCATCGTCAAGCAACACCAAGCCCTTTCTGACGTTGCACCACTCAAAACGCTCCTTTACATTAGTCTTATCTTTCAGCTGTGGTGTGAGAAATGCTACTAAACTGGCCGGAATTTTGAGGCTAGGCTGTACGCACGTCGTGCTGTGGTGGCGGTGCATCCACGACGCAAAGCTAATCAAGCTAGGACTGGAGATGTTGGAGCGCAAGTAGAGGTGGACACCTTTCTTCACATGATAAGCTCGTGTATCCTTTCAAGATTGGTGGTGAGGTTTCCCTCTAATTGCTGAGTCGGTGCCGTCCATAGCAGTTGATTGGAGGATTCCTGTTTGGTACCCAGGCAATCCGGAAGTTGTCTGCACAACTAAAAAATCTTAAGACGTAGGTAAACGACCGAGGAGGTGGCGCGGCATTCTGAGTCTGTATTAGCATTGTGAGTAGGAATATCAACGTTGGGTGACTTGAATCAGAGTGTCAAGTGACGATATGAAGCTGAGCGTTGATGCTCGACAGGAACTGCCAAGCCTGGCTTACACATGACGCAAACCCACTTTCGCAACTCACATTCTTCGAGCCACGTTTCTGCACCGCACCACAGGATACCTGAGACGCTCATCATGAAGCCTATAATCGCCATTCCTGCGATTGCTGCACTGGTGTACCGGGCGTACTCGCGCAAGTCCCTGACTCCGGTTGGCATTGCCGCGGCGTTTGGGACGGCCGTGGTGCACGCCTTGCATCCGTGGAGCGTGTGCTTTGCACTGCTAGCAGTCTTCTTCTTGGCCGGGACTGCCGTAACCAAAGTACGCTATGTCTGTGGGTGTAATGGGCGGTGATTAACAGAGAGTAGGTCAAACATGACGTCAAAGCGAAGCTCACCCAGTCTGCGACAGGCGCTTCTGGGGGAGAAGGGGCACGCAACCATGTCCAAGTGTTTGCCAACTCCGGCATAGCTTCGGTGCTAATTCTGATACACCTCTGGCAACTGAAGAACGAGGGACGATACGAAGATGAGAATCTTTGTTGGAGTGGACGAAACGACGTGGTGGTGATAGGCATCGTTGCGTAAGGCTCACCCGGCTTTGTCTCCACAGCATTGTGCTGACCCGCACTAGCAATTATGCCGCAGTCGCTGCAGACACCTTTTCGTCCGAACTTGGGATCCTGTCGAAATCCAAGCCACGCCTTATCACTGCTCCGTGGCGCGTGGTTCCGCCTGGTACAAACGGAGGCGTGACAGCCACAGGTCTCGGTGCAGGACTACTTGGCGCGTTTATACTCTCACTTACTTCGACACTGCTGTTGCCGTTTTGTCAGGACTGGACCTTTGCTGACAAGGCTACCTATACCCTTGCGCTGACAGCAGCTGGCTTCAGCGGAACACTTCTCGACTCTCTTCTCGGTGCGCTCCTCCAGGCCAGCGTGGTTGATGTTCATTCAGGCAAGATTGTAGAAGGCGAGGGAGGCAGGAAAGTCATTGTCCACAGCAGCCATGCACTCCACCTTTCCAAGGCTGGCCAGAACGCAACTGGCACGACTAGCGGTGCAGACGTTGCAGCATCAGTCAAGGGCTCGGAGATGATGTTGAAGGCCGGAGCAAGCGGAACCGCGGTGGCAGACAAGCAGCACGAGAGCAGGAAGGTTGAGGTGGGCAGTGATTTGCTGGACAACAATGCCGTCAACATACTGATGGCGGGCCTGGTGAGCTTGGGGGCCATGCTTGCTGCCGGCGCTATTTGAGGCGGGTGTCAGTAGGGAGTGGTTTATTGCGCCTGTATATGGCTTAATATGATTTAATGGTATTCGAGTATGTGCAATTGATCTGATACAAGCCTGCCGTGGCAAGGAGCCTCTGGTCAAAATGCCAAGGCGCTAGTGCGGCGCGTCACTCATGGAGCCTAGAGCTCCATGTAGAGCAACTGCTCAACATCCCGCCTCCGAACAACACCACCATATTCCAACGGCCTGTCGCCTCGATCGATCAACCACAAGAGCTCGCAATAGCAATCGGACACAAGCCACCTTGAGAAAGCCCCAGCGCCACTTTGGTCCAAAATGGTAGGCTTTAGCATTGCATGTGTGCACAGATGGAGTACTTACGCACATTCAGTCTCTCCGCTTCGTCCCCAGCAAGGCGCACCCTGCGCAGACTAGTCTTGAAACCTCTGCGCCTTCGGCCCCCGGTGTTCACGACACCCTACGGTCTCGCCTTGGCCAAACATGCGCAGCACCCACGGCTGCATCGTCGTCGACAGCGCCGGTCGCCCTGCAGTCTGCTCACCCGCTCGAAGCCCGCCTGGTGCAGTGGCGCGACACGCAGGATCGCTTGAAGATGGAGATGCTGAGGCGGCAGTTTGGCATCGCCGAGCCGGTGCGCAGGGGCATGGAGCTGAAGATTGCTGAGGCGGGCGAGTGGAGGCCATTGGCGCTGGGTGGAAGCAGCGGTGTGCACAAGGACATTCTACAGGGACGGGACTGCGAGATTGGGTGGGAAGATGTGTTCACGGGCAACGAGCTGCGCCAGGTGCCCGACTTCCACACGGAGATGGAGCACAAGATGAAGATGAACTGGTAGAGCAGCGGCCAGCAGGCCCAGTGGGTAGCCGACTGCAGACATCAAGGATAGCTCGCTGGGGTAGGCTCTTGCATGCGCATGGGCGTGGTGTTAGATGGAGATAGTGGCTACTGGGGGCCAAGGCCCAGGAATGAATTGATGAAGCGTCCAGTCTGTGTGCTCGCGAACGGTGCTATGGCGTGCGTGGAGGGCAGAGAGGAGCGATGTCGTCGTGTGCGGCCGGGAAGCTGCCAAGGATGACGGGCTGCACGCCCGCAGCCCAGGGAGCCAAGCGCGGGCCGACTGGGACGGGTCTAGCTGTGGCGCAGGGTGAATGCGATACGACAGTCACGGCACGATAGCAGACGATAAGGCCATGGGCGCAATGCAGGGGGCCGCATATGCCTTGGGCGAGGGCCCCAACATGGCGGGTTGCGGGACGCCGTCCTGTATGTATGGGCGGGCGCAAGTAACGTGTGCGTGTGGGCGCATTGCTGGGCGTGGCGGCGGTGTTGGCGGCCCAGCAATGGCGGTGGCACCAGCACGCTTTGGCTAGCGGGCTGTTAGTGGAGACGGCGGGTCGCTCTTGCCGCGTTTGCGGATTGCGGAGAAGGGAGAACAGGGCGGCGGCGGCGACTTCCCAGGCGCGCACGGCCGGCCGACCTTCCATCATCCACACATCAGACCCCGACACATACATCTCAACACCAAGCTATTGTTCCCCCTCGCTCTCTCTCGCCGCGACGTCGAGGCTGGCTTGCGCACCGCCCCAGCCCACACGCTCCTTGTCCGTTCGCTCCCCCTGCCTGCAATCGCCCCCTGCCGCCGCGAAGAGCGCGAGTAGAGGCCGTCCCCCAACCATGGCGTCTCCAGCCGATCCAGCCTCTACGGCACCACCGACTACTCCACACCAGCTGGGCTCGGCGTCGCGCCCGCACAGCAGCAGCGAGGCGCTCGCCACCAGCCCCGTCGAGATGGCCACGCTGGACGCCGCGCCCGCCGCTCCAGCTGCCGCCCCAGCAGACACGCCCGCGCACACGACGCCCGCTCCTCCTCCTGCTGCTGCTGCTGCCGCTGCCGCCATGGCGACGACAGCTCCGCAGGCGGGCGACGCGAGCGCTCCAGCAGATGCGCCCGCCGCCCCGTCGTCGCCTGGGAAGCCCGCGCCCCCTTCAGCCCTAAATCGCGCAGATACTGAGGCCATCGGGCCCTCGACAGACACGCCCGCCGCCAACCCAGACAACACGCACGGGCCGGTGCTGGTGATAATGCTGCTGCTCACGAGCGGCGCGAGGCACCCCTACAAGATTGACGAGAAGTACCTGAAGAAGCGGAATGTCAAGGTGGACAACATGGACCCATACAACATCAGTGTGTACACGCTCAAGGAGCTGATATGGCGAGACTGGAGGGAAGGTACGCATGCCCATCGTTTCCTTGCCATGTGCGCAACAAGGCAGAAAGAGCCTGTCTTTCTATCTGTCTGTCTGTCTGTCTGTCTGTCTGTCGTCGCGCGCCTGCGTGCCTGCCGTTTAGGGCGTGGCGGCTGGCTCTGGTCCTGTCCAGACAGCCTTGCAAGGCCAACTGCGACTCGCCGTGCATTTCTGCCCAAGTCGGCGTCCGAAAGCTAACTGGATTGAACAGAATGGGAGGCGCGGCCTACCTCGCCAAGCTCGATAAGGCTCATTCATTTCGGCCGCATGCTCGACGACAAGTCGCCACTCAAAGGTAGGCTTATCATCTCCAGCTCATGTCAACGCTGTCAGCAAACTAGCGCTGCGCTTGCCTTCCTTGGCCCATTGGTGCAGCTTGCATGAGACTCGATAGACGGCGCCAAGCATCCACTAACAGACTGCAGAGTGCCGTTTCCAAACAGATACCCCCAACGTTGTCCACATGACGGTCAAGCCGCAGGAGGTGGTCGACGAAGAAGAAAACGCCAAGACAGGCAAGTCTGGAAGCCGAAGAGATAATGACGAAGAACCCACCGCCACCTGCCGTTGTGTCATCTTATAAAAGTGCCCGTATTCTCACGTGTCTTGTGGTCAGACCATCCCCTTACGATGACGCCTTATGCGACCGCCAAAAGTACATACGGGAAGCTGGAGCGGCGAAAAAGAAAGACCGGTTCGACCATTGGAAGCGCATGCGTTGGGCTCTCTGTTCTGGCTATCGTGCTTGGCCGTTGGGAGCGGCTTAGACTGTGGCGTTCCAGGGACGGGGTTGGGTTTCTTTTTTCTTCTCCTTGACCGTTTTCTCGTTTCTTTCTTTTTCTCACATTGTGCATATGGTGGTGCCATAATAACCCGGCTGGTCCTGTAGCTGGTTTGATTTATTGTAGTGTATAAGTACGCACGGTTTCGCGGAGAGCATTGTTATTGAGTCGCCCTGGCTCCTGGAGAATAGATTACATTCGAGCAGTCCAGCGTCGCCTTTCCAGTGCACTAATGGCATTACGTTGCCACGCTTGCGCTTGTTGTCGTGCGTTGCCTCCTGCACATGTGTCGGGAGGCGCAATTGGACCCTGGTGATCCCCAGAGTGTTAGATGCCGTCATCGGTCAAGCGTCCCTCGAGCTCCGACCTCTCCATGGTTCCACTCACTCACCTTCCTTCGCAACCCCCAACACCACGACTCGGTTGCGTGTAGCCCACAATGGTGCTTCAGGACCCCGGCAACAATGCGCCTGAAGGCTTTACAGACGATGCCTACCCGTCCTCGGATGATCCATACGCATCCCCGCCGGCTGCCTCGGCCAGCGGTGCTCGCTTCGACTCGACCACTCTGCCGCGCCCATTGCCTGTCATAGGCACCTTCATGGGCTTCTCCGAACGTGCCGTCCGCTTCAAAACCGAGACGACGCTCAAGTTTGCCGAGCGCAAGGTCGGCCGCCAGCTGAGCCCCGAAGAAGCCCAAGCCCTCGCCTTCCACATCTACAAGCTTGAGCAAACAAAGAGCTATTTCGCCGCTACGGGCGCCGCAGCGGGTACCTGGCAGTGGTATCGCACAATGGACAAGATCAAATATCCCTTTTACCAGCCCAAAGTCGAGGATATTGACAGGAACAAATTCGGACCCATCCGTGGCCCATTGGCGCAGTTTGCGCGACACGCATGGCGCTTCACTCTATACGTGGGCGTGGCAGGACAAATGGGTAGCATCATTGGCCAGCTCTTCGCACAGCCCCTTGCAGCAGTCAACACAGCCAACGATCCGAAGCTGGAGCACTTTGGAACAGAGTTGAAGGCTTCGTCGCATGCCGAGGGCCAGAGGAATGCGCAGCAGGGGCGCGAGATTGGAGACCGAAGACGAGAGTTCCAAGAGCAGGTGAGAAACCGTGCCGGCGGGGGGCCATCACCACAGGCTAGGTGGGGCAGACAGCCTCCAGCACAGAAGGATGATACGGCCGACGATATGAGCCCTACTGCTGGCAATCAAGTTTGGGGATCCGAGTCCACGGGTGCACAAACTTGGGAATCCTTTTCAAGCGAATCATCACAACCGAGTCCACAAAGGCAGCAAAGTCCGCCGTCCACGGACACTTGGAATCGTCAGCCCCCAGCCCAGCGCCAGTCTAACCGATCGTCGTCTTCTCCATTTGATGACGACGACGCCTCTCCCACAGGTGGGCTTTTCCAAGACGAAGTAACAAACTCACAGTCGCAATCTCAAGGACAAACACGGCCGGGTGAGTCTTCGTGGGACCGTATCAGGCGCGGTGGTCAGCCTGTACCGCTCCAGAGACCACAACGGCAACCACGGAGGGCGGAGCCAGAACGTAGAGAGCAAAGAGAGGGGTCCACTCTGGGCGATTCGTACACCTTTGTGGGCGATGATGAAGAGAGGAACAGGGAGCGGGAGCGTGCACAGCAAGAGTTTGATGCCAGGATAGAGAAAGAGAGACAGGGAGGGGATTTTAGTGATGATGAGAAGAGGTGGTAGATCAGCACACGGGATCAATGGCTGAGACAGTGATGTGAGATAATAACGAGCCCAAGTACTCGGCCAGCCATGCATTTAAACGCACGTCTATGACATGGAGTAATGCTTGTGAAGATCCCTGCCGCGCTGGTTCCAGATGATGGGCAGGCACAGGGGCTAGTGCAGCGGGTGTACCGGAACTAACTTGTGCTCCGCATGAAGGCGCGAAAAGGAAACGCGAATCTGACTCGTAGGCCAAGGCCCTGTCAACAAGCTCGGTGAAATCGTATTACCCCATACGCTACGGTTGCTATGACGCGTAACCCAGTAAGAAACGGGGGACCGATTTCGCGGGGGGGTTGAAACCTTGTTTGAAGGTTGCACGACATGTTGAGAGGCTGTCAGACAGAGGCTTACCCTCTTTACACCCTGATCCAGAGTGAAAGAGCACCTCAGGTTTCTGAGGAATGGCATGTAAGTTCACTTCAATTTTTGCCTTTTATTCGAGAGTAGCAACTCATGTCTTTGATAGTTCCCATAATGGCCAGCGCGGCGGGGACCGCAGTCCTCGCAGCCTACCTCAACGCGAAATATCACATAGCCCATGATGTCAAGAACATGAGCAGTGGATTATCGCAGTACCGCAAATGTATGCGCTTCATGGCTGATCGCGCCGCGCAGAAGCGCGTCCTTGTATACCACGTTTTCGAGGACCAAGTCGGCAAGCAACCCGACCACCCCTTTCTCATCTTCGAAGGCAGGACCTGGTCATACAAGGAGTTTTTCGAGGCATTCATGAGAGTCGCAACCTGGTTGATTGACGAGTTGGACGTGCAGGTGGGCGAAGTAGTCGCCATCGATGGCGGCAACAGTCCCGAGTACTTGATGCTTTGGTTTGCGCTAGACGCGATCGGTGCGACTACGAGCTTTATAAACTGGCAACTAACAGGAGCGGGATTGGTTCATTGCACAAAGGTGTGTCTCTGCATCTTAGTGTGGTGGCGTACTATGGCTAACAGATCTGCTAGTTGTGCAAGTCGAGATATCTCATCGTGGACACTGATATCAAAGCCAACGTCGAGCCGAGCCGTGCCGAACTTGAGGAAGCAGATATCAAGATTCTCTACTACGATCCATCCTTCTTCGCGTCTTTATCGAAGAGTGCGCCCATTGCAAGCAGTCGCCATGAGAACATCACACTAGAGTCCACACGAGGGCTCATGTACACGTCCGGGACGACAGGTCTACCTAAAGGCGTCTCTATCAGCACTGGTCGCGAACTTTTGACTGGCTACGTACTTGCAAATCAGCTCGGGCTCAAACCCGCGGATAGAATGTATACATGCATGCCGCTCTACCATGCGTCTGCACACGGCCTCTGTACAACACCAAGTATCTATGCTGGAAGCACTGTCGTACTGGGCAGGAAGTTCTCACACAAGACTTTCTGGCCTGAAGTCGTGAACTCGGGAGCAGTAATCATCCAGTATGTCGGCGAGCTAGGCCGATATCTATTGAATTCTCCCAAGCATCCATTAGAGAGGGCGCACAAGGTGAGGATGGCGTGGGGCAACGGCATGCGTGCCGACGTATGGGAACCCTTTCGCGAGCGCTTCAACATACCAGTTATTCAAGAAGGCTACGGCGCCACAGACGGGATTGGACCGACGATTAACCGCAACGCCGGACCCTTTACTGCTGGTTGCGTTGGCCTACGCGGTGTGCTCTGGACCTGGGCGTTTAGGAATCGCGAAGTCCTGGTGAAGATGGACGTCGACACCGAGGAAATCATGAGAGATAAGAATGGCTTTGCAATACGATGTGGTGTCAATGAGCCTGGCCAGGTGTTGCATCGCCTTACACCTGAAGTACTGGCTAATGTACCGAGCTACTACGGCAACGAAGCGGCGACTCACAGCAGGCGAATCAGCGATGTCTTTGAAAAGGGCGACTTGTGAGCCTTGTTCTACCGAGATGACCATGCTTGAAGCTGACGAAGATAGGTGGTTCAAATCAGGCGACATGTTGCGGCAAGACGCCGACGGCCGCATCGTCTTTGTCGATCGACTCGGCGATACGTTCCGCTGGAAAGCTGAGAATATTTCCACGACTGAAGTCGCCGACGCAATAGGAAAGTGGAGCCAGATTACCGAGGCAAACGTCTACGGAGTCTTGGTGCCAGGCCATGACGGCCGAGCTGGTGCAGCCTCGATTGTCATGGCTGACGGGGTGACGGAATCGACGTTTGACTTTGGTGGCCTGGCGGAACACGCAAAGGCAACGTTGCCCAAGTATGCGGTGCCCATCTTTCTGAGGGTCACGCGGGCGCTGGAATATACTGGCACGATGAAGATGCAGAAGGGAAGGCTGAAGAAGGAGGGTGTGGACCCGGATACCGTCACGGGTGAGGACAGCTTGTACTGGCTGCCGCCAGATGGTAATCGATACGTGCCGTTTGGGAAGAAGGACTGGCTGGCGCTTTTGGATCAGAGCGTGCGCCTGGCATAAGTGATTTGATCGCGCGATTTGTTGATCCAACAAAAGTACACCCAATGTAATACTGCAATGTGCATTTGTCATGTCCAGCCAATAGGAACGTGCATGATGAGCCCTGGTCTGGATCCACTGCTTAGCGTACCGGGGGTGGCGATCTCTTAGTCAGTCAGCCCTACGACTTTCGCAACGCCAAACCCATCTCTTTCCCTCACCACAACACATCGCCTTGCGCCGCCCGCCACTACAACAGCGCCCCGTCCGCACATCTCCACGTCCGTCGCTGCATCCACCGCACGCACACACATCCCGCGACACACACCATGGGCAAAGCGGAAGCCGGAAGCACGAAATGGGTCGCCAACAAGATGAAGTCCAAGGGGCTGCAGCGGCTGCGCTGGTGGTGCGAGCCCTGCCAGAAGCAGTGTCGCGATGCCAACGGATTCAAGTGCCATGTGCAGAGTGAGAGCCACGTCCGCAACCTGCAGATTGTCGGCGAGGACCCCAAGAAGTTTATCAACAACTTTAGCAACGATTTCCAGAGGGATTTCATCAATCTGCTCAGGACGGCGCATAATGAGAAGGTACGTGGAATTTCCCTCTTGCGCTTGGAAATGATGTAGAGCTAACGTGCGCGACAGTGGATTTCTGCGAATAAGTTCTACAACGAATACATTAGGGATAAGGAGCATGTTCACAGTGAGTTTCTCAGGTTTTTTTAACGATAGGAATGCGCTGACGATCCGCAGTGAATGCTACCAAGTGGAGCTCGCTTACGGAATTCACCAAACATCTTGGACGGGAGGGCATTTGCCACGTAAAGGAAGACGAAAAGGATGGTTTGATGATTGCATGGCGGGACACCAGCGCTGCAGCAGTGACCAGACGCAAAGAAATCGCAGAGTTGGAAGCTGCCGAAGCGCGGAGTGGAGCCGGCGAAGACAAGATGCTGAAGAAGATGGCGAAGCGTGCGCAGGAAGAAGCGGAAGCCAAAAAGGCCATTGAAGCAAAACGAGCGGCAGCCCAGGCAGCGATACAGCAACAAGTCACGCCTCCAGCGGAAGAAGCGGCGTCGGCAGAAGACAAGAAGACCGACTCGCCGACTGAAGAACAGAAGGAAGAGGAAACAAAGGCTGAAGCAGCACCTGTCAAACTCAGTTTCGGCCTCAAGGCAAAGGCTGCGCCAGCGAACAAGGCTGGTCTGGGACAAATGAAGAGCCAAAGCATATTCAAGCGGAAGAAGGACGATGCGTCGGAGCAGAAGCCTGTCAAGAAGGTCAAATTGTAGTGAGGAGGTTATCTTGGTTTTGATGAGCATAGCGCGGCGTTTGGGCATCATGGCACGATTTACGTACCGGGTTGGTACGATGAGTTTGAGTTTGATATTACGGCAATAGTATGAACTACGAGATTACATATGCTGCAAATTGATCCTACTGCACATGTGATTCTGATTGGCAAGCCGCAGTCTACATCCCCCCTCCCCTCCCCCTACAGAAACATTTACCATACTGCATCCAGTCTAGCGCACGCTCGACGCGTCTACGTACTTACATGATCGAAACGCGTCTCCCAGTCGCGAAACTCTCCCCTCAACAGACGCCAATTCCAATTCTTTCCTTCAATCCCCCCTTTCCCACATCCTCCTCCATCGAAAACGCCATCACCTTCATACCGCCACGAATAAAAAAAAATGTCTCTAATCAAATTACCATCTCTCCCCGACCCAATCCTACATTTGATCTGCCTCCATCTCACACCCGATCGCGCCAGCGTCAACGACCCCGTCCACGGCCAGTCTCACACTTTGTACCGCGCAATCATCAATTTGTCGCTGACTGCGCATGCGCTCAGCCGCATTTCAACGGCGCACATTGCGACCAATCTGAGTCTGACGCATGCTTCGCTGCGCTGGACTTTGTTTCTGCGCTCCGCGAGGGAGAACCCAGCATATGCGGCTGGGGTTAGATATTTGCGGTTGGTCGAAGATAGCAGCACCACCACCACAAGCAGTAGCAGTAGCAGTGTTGGGGAACTGGAAAAGCATAATGGTGCTCCGGATGAAGTAACGGAAATGTTCGAGGCGCTGCGGGGCCTGGAAACGCTTTTTTCGTCGTCAACATCATCAGCAGCAGTACCCCGTGTGGGCATGTCGCCTGCGTCCATCATCATCCAACGCCTTGTTTCGCGGGAAATGGGCTTGTGGAAAACACTCAGGGTGCTGCGCTTCGAGCACGTTGATGCGCGGGGTGACGAGTCTGTTGTGGAACTCAGTCTTGTTCGTCAGCGTATGGGGAAAGACGAGGAGAGGGAAGAAGAGAAGGGAATGACAAAGGCTAACACCACGGGTCTTTTGATGGGAAAACTCGATGCCGAGGACGTTGCGAGGTTGCGTTCGATTCCAGAGGTTAGTGGCGTGCAAGTTGGCACATGTGGTTTTGGAGACGAGGGGGGTGAAGAGGGGTGTGAAGAGTGGGTTGATGAAGAAGATGATGATGATGATGGCGAGGCACGAGACGATGACGACAGCGACGACGACTACGAATACGAGAGCGGAAGCAGCGACTGGGACTCTGAAGATGAAAGCGACTACGAGGACGACTGGGAGGCCGAGTATAGTCGCGGCTTTGTCCGTCCCAGTTAAGAGTCTGCTTGATTTTATTTTTTTGAGACTGCCTTTGCGTACAGTCTGATTGCGAGGCATTTCAGAGCCCCCCCCCATGTACATTTACCGTGTTTGTTTGTATAGTAAGTTACATTACGTTACGTTACGCCTATAATCGAATCATAGACAGGAAAAAAATCCCCGATGACTACTCCTTGGCCAAATTACCCAATCCCCAGCATTATTACTACGTACATAACGCACTTCCCTCCACATACATACCTTCAAGCCACTACTGCCGTAGTAGCCGGGGCCCTCACAAACCTCACGCGCACGCCCGGCGCGCCCGCCGTAAAATTATCCCTAATGGCCTCCCAGTACGCACGCACATCGGTGCCCTCCTGGACAAAGACATCAAACTCAGCCACGACTCTCCCGACCAAACTCCTCAGCTCCATCAGCGCAAGCGCCTTACCCGCACAGCTATACGGGCCAGTCGAGAAGGGGATAAACACACTTTTATTGCGCACGAGCTCCGGCCGCGTGGTCCAGCGCTCCGGCACAAACTCGTCGGGAGCCACGAAATTGCGCGCGTCGCGGAAAACAGGGAACAGCGGAATCTGCACCAGCATGTTGCCCGGGATGAAGTGCGAGTGCAGGTGGAGACCGCCGGCGGGCGTGACGCGCTGGGACCCGAAGAAGACCGAGGGCCACATGCGCATCGACTCGTTGATGATGGAATCGAGAATGGGGAGCGCGCGCTGGCAATCGTATGTGGCTGCGTGTGCGAGGAACTCGGTGCGCACGGCGGCGAGGTGCGCTGGGTGCGTGGCGAGCTGCATCAGGATGAAGGTTGCGGCTGTCGAGGTTGTCTCGCTGCCTGCGGAAATGATGAGGCGCGATTCGCCGTAGAGCAGGTCGCGGCCCTGAGCGGTTTTGGGCGTCGACGCAATCAGGTGTGAGATGAGATCTGGTTTTGCGTTGCGGACCTATGGCGGTAAGTATCGGGGCCTGTGAGTTTTGTCATGGGAGAGAGAGAGTGTGTGTGTGTGTGCTGGGAAAGGGTGTATTATTACCTGCATTCGAGTGCGCATTTGACTGACGCTCCAGTCTCGCCATTCTTTCATGGGCCCTGCAAAGGACGTGAGCGAGCCGATTGTGTTCATGAGCCACGGCATGTGGTACATGTATCCGATGAGGGTGACGCTTTTTGTGAAGGTGGCGAGGAGGCTGGCGGCGATGTCGCTGTGGTCGCCGTTGATGAAGCCCATGGGCTGGCCGAATGCCAGGGCCGCCATGACATCGTAGCTGTAGTACGTTGTGTATTCGATGAGCGGGATGAGCTGACCTTCTTCGCGGCGGAGCCGCTCAAGCAGCTGGTCGGTAAAGTGCTCGACCTGTGGCGCAAAGGCAGGCAGTGCCGTCTTGAATGCCGTATCCCAAGTTCGGCGCCGCTGACGGTGAAACGCCTTGTCGCGGTTGAGATGCAGCGATCGCTCCATGACATCGAAGAAGGGGCCCTTTGTGGTTTTGGACTGAGCCCCGAGGATGGGCTGGATGGCTTCGGCATCGAAGATGGTGAGTTCACGCGGTCCTGGCCGGATTAGCAGCTTGTCTGGGGAAAGTAATAACGTCAGTTGTAACGGACCCGTCCTAACGTAATCGCCATATTGCGTCTGCAACCGCTGTAGTACCCTGTGGTAGTGCAAATCGCTGTCCCACGTCTGCTTGATGGCCCACCATCGGGAGAGCTTTGCTGCCCACGGCCCCGGGTATGTTCTCAGCGGGTGAAAGAAGGCACGGTAGGCTCCTATGTACAGCCAAAGCGGAACCCAGAACGAGCTCGTCACCAGTGTTGCCGTGACGAGATCCGAGTAGTATACGAGGATCCAGTACGTCGCCAGCGCAGACCCGATGATTGGCACAGCCAAATGATCGACTTCTACTCGCCGGAGAACAAACTCGTGCAGGATGACAGCGGCGAGTGGAGCGAGCACAAGAGTAAAGCTAGGAATGGGCTCCATGGCTCTTTGCGGGAAAAGCCCCGGTCGTGCACGGCGCTCGTGGTATCGAGGCGATTTCCAATGTTGCAGCCGCCGGTGAAAAAAAAATAACAGAGTTGCGCTCGTATCTTACTGCAGTTGATCAGACCTCTGCTTGCCCCTGTTGATTCGATTAGCTGGCTTGTCGGAATGGCAAGAACGAAGCAGGATATACCAGTAGACGATTCAAAACGCATTGCTTGGTCGATCCAGCAGGGCGGGCCTCGTCGTACTTACAAAACGTGGACAAAGAACGAGTGTAACGTGCCTTGCCGGGCGGCTACATTCGCACGTGGAGGAGGGTTTGTATTGAACCCAGTCGGCAGCTCCGATGGATGCGCCAGGGATGCAAGCCCGTCTTGCTAAGCATGTCTGTCTTTAGATTGCAGTTTTTGTCGCCGAGTGTCCACAACAGGCATGTTGCCGCATGCCTGGGAAGCTGACTGCAGAAGAGGATGACAATGTTACGCTGCTGCATCTTGTCGTACATGCATCGCACACGGCCCGCTAGTGGCTTGGGGGTCAGGTCGTGTTTGGTGAAGCCGCCAGCTTGTCGATACTCGTCGGATTATCTAGCGGGCCAGACCCGTCTAGTTTCTCTGCAAAAGGAACGAGCATCGTGCTACCGACATGCTCCGAGACGCGCTTCATTGCATGGCGTGGCACGAGGGAAGCCGCTGCTGAAGAACTGCAACCAATGTCATCATGTGTAATCTCGGCAAGGCGAATCGTCGCTGCAGCGCTTGGCCTCTCCGGGGACAAGTGTAGGTATCCGCTGAGTAGCATCGCGACTGGCAGCAGATGGGTGAGGTACTTAGGGGGCGGAAATCAACCCAGACTCGAGCTGAACACTCTCTTCTTATCGATTCCCCAGGTTCCCGCCCTAATAAAGTTAAGTACCGGTTTTCTGCAAATGGGGCTGTATTGAGAGGATGCGCATCCACAGACGTTTCGCAAGCTGTTGCGTCTCATGGTTCCACGGTTGAACATCCAAGGTCGCACCGGCGGCCGTCTTTTGTGTGTCCTCGTGTCAAGATGGCTGGTATGGTAACTCAAACTCCCCGCAATGATAAGGGTGCAGTAGATCTGGAAATGCCCCTCCCCTCTCCAGTTCTCGCCTGCTTCCGCTTTGGACTCTTTGTCTCCTTTTTGCAATCTCCCGGAATCCTGCTGGCGTGATGACTTCGACGACAACACAAGGGGGTGTCCTGCCTGTACCCAATGAGGCTAATCAAGGCTCCAATGGCGAGAGGACAGACCTTCAGAGTAGGATCATCGTGGTATACATCGTTATGACGATTCTCTCCACAATGGTACTTGGGTTGCGGCTGTACACTCGGACCTTTATCCGCCGCATGATTGGATTGGACGATATCTTGGTAGTCCTCAGCTGGCTGGGGTGTGTGGCATGGCTGGTAGTCGGCTTTCAAGGCAAGTCCACGCCATTACTCGCAAACTCCAACTGACGCGTCTGTAGCGTTCCAATACGGCTTCGGCCAGCATCTGTGGAATGTGACAGCGCAACAACTGGCCGGCTACACCAAGATGCTGGTTGGCATAATGGTAGTCTATGTCTGGACGCCTGCACTTGCAAAGCTCTCGCTGCTGGCACTCTACTATCGTCTCAACCCGGATTACACGGTCCGCGCCTGTATCTACGCGTTAGCAACTCTCGTGTCTGGGTATTCACTGGCCATCACCGTTGTTGCTGCCGGTCCCTGCAACCCTCGAGTCCATACCGACCAGAAATGCCTTACTGACCTCAATCTTTTCATGGCGTGCGTCAACATCATCACAGACTTTTTAATTCTGTGCCTGCCGATACCGATGCTGCGTGCTCTGCAACTGCCACTGAAACAGAAGATCCTGCTAGCACTGGTCTTCGCACTCGGGTCTGGGTAGGGAATCTGCACATTCGCTATCAATCCATGCTAACACGTCCAGCGTCGTCGTCATCTCCATTGTTCGCATCATATACGTCTACAGCATGATCAGCAACCCCGACTCAACTTACAACGTCGCCAAGGCGTGCATCTTCTCCACAGTGGAGCTCAACGGAGGCGTCATTTGCGCATGTGCGGCGCTCCTCAAGCCCTTCATACAGCAGCACATGCCATGGATATTATCTCTTTCGAGCAGAACCGGAACCGGAAATCGCTCTAGCAGCCGCAAGTTGAGAATGCCCAAGAAGCGCAACAACGAGAAGGACCTTGAGTTGCGTGACATAGAAGCAGACCACGCCGCACGCCGGCAGGCCAAGAATAAATTGAACCGCCAAATCGCCGTGACCAGGTCGTACAGTGTCCAGGATTCAAAGACGGGGAAAAGCAGCGGTGACAGTATGGAAGATCTGTTTGCACCGAGCGCCGGTTGGAACGGTGGGCGGTAGTTCATTACTTAGGAAGTATGCTCCTCGATGGTATGCCACGGATACTATAAGATCCGTTAGGCTGCAAGAAGATATAGGTAATGTTTGACAGGAAGCGTGAACATTGGGACATATTGTACTGAACGAATACTTGGCGAGAGGCCGTTAAACAAGTAGAGTATCATGAAAGGGCCGAAGAGAGGACGTCAGGGAACGCGCAAAGCGTTGACTGTCAGATGACGATTGACATCTTGGCGCACCATACATGAGAGTCTTTGGGGACCAATGCGTGTCAATGGCTTGGTGTAACCGGCGTAGAACTGCACTGGTGCCATCTTTTTCCGTGGCTTCGACCAAGACATGGCTGCATTTCCAATCTAGAACAGTGGTTGAGGCAAGGTCATCATGCGTTTGAAACTGCAAATACTTTGTTTGTCACATGTTGGGATACAGGGTAGTAGAAGTAGTATTGACTAAATCACTAGCATCTCAATTCCAACATTAACAAGACTCTGCCCTGGGTATCAATTTACCATCTGTCCGCTGACCAAGCCGAGTAAATAACTCTGAAATCAAAACGCTAATCATCTACTTCCGTCCTCAAGTTCTGACGTCCACGAGCAATAGCATCGCCCAGATCCATGTTCGATGCCTGTCCGCGGATATTGGAGATGAAGCGTCGTCCGCCGTCCATGTTTTTCTTGAGCTTCGCATCCTCCTCGGCATCCTTGATCTCTTGTTGCCGAACTCGTTCAGCCCGCTGCTCCTCTAATGATGTTGCTTCTGCTTGCATACTAGCGAGACGATCGGCCGCACTTTGGCGGGCCTCTGCATCATCTGATTGCTTCTTGGGAGGTGAGCGATCACGCCATCGGTAGCTGTCGCGTTCCCGGAAATCTCCACGATCATCCCTTCTGGGTGGTGAGCGCGTGCGATCTCTTCGGCTACTGTGCTTGTGATACGGCGACCGTGACCGCGATTTTGATCGCCTTCGATGGCTATGGTGTTCGCGACGGTGCCCACGGTCTTCACTTCTGCGTGGCGAGCGTGATCGGTGGTGGTGCCGGCTGCGATGTTTGTGTTCCCGGTCTCTACTCCTCTCCCTGTCCCTGTGTCGGTCCCTGCTGCCGTCTCTGTCTCTGTGTCGATGTCTTCTCTCACGTTCCTTTTCCTTCTCCCGCTTTTCGGCGTACTTGGCTTCCTTCTGGGCGTCCTTCATTGCCTTGAGCTGCATTTCCATTTTCTGCTTTTGTATCATCAGCAGTGGATCTTGGAGAACCTTTTTCTGCGTATCGCGGGTGTTGGTCAAGGTCGCGCTGGGATCACTACCGGCGCCGATCCCGACTGCTGCGCCTTTCTGCAGACTCTGTGTGTCGTTTGATTTGAGGAGGTTGTCGATCCTGCGCTTGCCAAGGAGGTAGCCTTCGCGCTCTTCGGTGACGCCAGCATCGCCGCTGGGCCCAGCATACATCCAGTCGACCCTGCGCTGCACAACCTTGCCCCCAGATTCGGCCTGCAGTTTCTGTAGTTCTTCAACTGCGGCCTCTTCCTCGCGTTCTCGACGGAGCTTGTCGATCAACTTGCGCTCCTCGAGCGCGGCCTTTTCCTCCTTCCATACTCGTTCCTGGTTCTTGCGCAAATGTGGATGCCATGACTTCTTCAGGTTGAGATCGCCACCCATATTCGTGATGGACGCTTAGGCGCGCGCGGACGGGTAGGTGGGTGGGTTGTGTTTGTGTTTGGGTGAGTGGAGGAGTGCAGGTGGAATGGTGATGGAAGGCTGGCAGATTAATGCTGAGTTGCGCCACAGGCTGCCAAGACGCACTAAGCAGGGCCCCACCCAAAAGTTCACCTCCGCGACTTCTCCGCAAAAGTTTCGAGCGAGCGGCTTCGCAGCCTGATTCTCTCGAAGCAGACTGGATATTTTCAAACAGAGCAAATACTATTGGACACAGGAAATTTATCGCGCTTGTTGGGATCTAGAAGATACTAGATTGCAGACCCACCCAGTTCCACAGCAATGGCGACGCGCAAACGAAACGAGTACCTTGACGTTGAGGAGAGCGAGGATGAGGAGAGGGGCTATGATTCCGAAGAAGAGAGCAGAGCGCGCATGCTGCCAGCATCGAAGCGCCAGAAAGTAGACCATGATTCAGAAGCAGAGGAAGAGCAGGAGTCAGGTGGCGGCGATGAGGACTCGAAGTCTCAAGATAACGATGCAGAAAATGCACAAGACGACGATGAGCCCAAGCATTTCGCCTCCAAGAGTGCTGAACTAGCCCATCTCGAAAAACTCGCTGCGTCCCTCCCCTCGGAATTGCGACTACAGTCCACGAAACTCGGCAAAGCGCTGTCCCAGTCCCCACTCAAGAAAGACAAATCTGGCGTAATCTACCTGTCGCGCGTCCCACCATTCATGAAGCCCGCCGTTCTTCGGTCTCTCCTCCAGCCCTACGGCGATGTCGGCCGCATCTTCCTCACTCCTGAGTCGTCGACATCGCGCGCGCAACGCCTGCGCAACGGCGGCACACGTCGCAAGCTGTTCCTGGACGGCTGGGTCGAATTCAAACACAAGCGCGACGCCAAATTCATCGCGGAAAACCTCAATGCGCAGACCATGGGCGGCAAGAAACGAGGCAGGTGGCACGATGAAGTGTGGAACATCCAGTACCTGAGAGGCGTCAAATGGCACAATCTGGTCGAGGAGATCCAGAACGAGAATGCGGAGCGCGCGTCACGCCTCCGATCGGAGATCTCGCAGGACAAGAAGGAGAACAAGGCCTTCTTGGAGAATGTGGAGCGCGGAAAGGTGGCGAGTGGCATCGAGGCTACACGGCGGAAGAGAGGAGACCATGTAGATGAAGAAAAAGACGATGCAGGCACAGTCGACACCGTGCAGGAAGCCAGCGAGAAACCCAAGAGGAGAAAGGGCAGGCTGGAGTTCTCGCAGCACACGGCTGCAAGCAAGGCGATGAAGAAGCCGGAGCCGGGCCAGGACGTCAACAGAGTGCTGAGCAGTATGATGTAAACCAAGGAACATGTATGATATCCCAACAATTAAGCAATCCACATAAACCTATTCATTCATGGAGAAGAGGTCATCTACGTAGTGCCACCACCATTCCAACAAGAACATGCGCCGAATTTTCCCTAACGTATGTGGCAAGCGAGCGCCGCAGGCAAGCGAGCGCCGCACCCCACCAAACCTGCGCACCTCTATAAGCCTGTAGTTCCACCACAATATAGTTGTTTTACTACATATTAACATAATAGATTAAGCAGTACCTA